GTTGTGGCGCCTTGCCCCGAACTTTATCACCAACTGGTGTGGCGGTTCTTCCTCCATCTAACCTATAAAAAATACTAAATTTCCCAATTCCTTTCAATTTCCAACAACCCTAGCTATTTTATTCTCAATTAGAGCGTTCTAGGCACATCATCATCCATACCCCTTAACAAACGAAACAAGCCGAAATGTTGCATGCATCCTAGCAGAAGCTCGTTTCAAAATACCATACGAGGCTGTATTGGGCAAAAATCCAGAATTCTTGAACTTTTCAAACACATGGGAAGCTATTTCACGTGAACCACCCTTGCAAAGCTCATCCAGTGCAACATTAAAAGTAACTATGGTTGGTTTTGGACCACTAAGCAACATGTTATCCAAAAGCTTCAAACACTCTGAAACCTTTCCAACTCTACACAAATATCGGATCAGGCAAGATGACGTGAAGACATCATGGGTGATACCTTCATTCTGCATACGGCACAATATCAATTTGACAATCTCAGAACTACTCTGTCTGCAAGCCCAAGACAAAATTGTATTAAAAGAGACTGCATTAGGCAAGAATTGGCTCAAGAGCATCACAACCTTGTTTTCCCTACAAAACCCATTGATATTATATGACACATTGCTTGGAATGAAACCTACACGAGTCGTGATTTCTAACAAAGATAGTGCTTCTGCTGTTCTGTTCAGGATACATAAGCATTTGAGATAGATATTGAAAATAGGAACATCCATAGGATAGCCCTCCGAAATGGTATCCAGCAAAAATCTAACACAGCTACCAACTCTTCTTGATTTTAAAAGGCCTCCCCCCAGCACAGCTACCATGTAAGCATCAGGAGAGTATCCTTTAGAAACAATCATATCTAGGAGCACAGTAATGTCAAACACTCTATCCAGGCAAGAGAGTTCGCGAAGAATTATATTATAAACTAGCAAGTCCGGACTGCATCCTTCCACCTCCATCAAATTCGGATACCTCAATGCCTCTTCTAACCTCCCATTTACACAAAGGAACTTAACCAACACAGTATATGTAATGAGACTAGGCTTTAAACCGCTGTCTTGCATTTCATCAACAAACCACCAAGCAGCTTTCCACAACTCTTATTTACAAAAGCCATAAACCAAAGCAGTATAAGAGCAGACATCTACTCCAAGACCCATCTTCTTCATCAAGTAAAACAGTTGTAGAGCAGAATAAGTCTGACCAGTCTTACACAACACCCAAAGAATTGGATTCAAAGTGTACAACCCAAAAAACCGACCTTAGCAAGACAAGAAGAAACCGCGGAATACCCTTCCCTAGTCATTCCACTCTTGCTAAGCATACAAATCAACAGATTGAAAGATGGCTCTGTAGGGACATAGTCCATCATCAACAAAACATAAAAAAAAACCAAGGCAATCCGTTAAACTCTTCAACTCAAGACATTTTTTCAACCACCTGGACAAAACTATGAACGATGGAAGGAACCCACTAGCAAACATCCGGCCCAGAAAAAAGAAAGCAGGTTTGAAATTCCCAGATACCACCAGGCCATTAACGACCAAATTAAAAGTCACGGCATTTGGTGCCTACTATCTCAGTGCTTTCCATCATTCCGAGACAAGCTTCCAGCAAACCACGCGTGAAACGATTCCCACACTTTAAATAACTGTGCACCAAAGGATTGAAACCGGAAACGGTTGGTTTGCCGGGGAAGCTCCTCATCAAATTCCAAGTACACAGAGCTTGCGGGAGGTCGGCTGACGCGGCGTGCCCTCGCATTCCATGTTGCAACTCTTCGTAACTGGGATTGGCGGTTGACTCGTCTTCCCTACCAGCATTGAGTTTTTGCAGAGCACAACAAGAAGAAGAGAAATAAGCAAACTTGGGGAAAATGACGGAGGAGTATGAGCCAAGTGTACGCCTGAATAAGCTAATTATAGAGTTTGAGCATAAGGGCATTGCCGCGGGAGAGGAACCAGTTGAAGTTCGATGACATGGAAAGTTCGGTGAGGAGCGCGGGAGCTCAATTTAGTTATCCTCCTAACATGATTTTTTGTTAGGAGATACTAACAAGGCCGGATGGGCCTCCACGCCGCCAAGCCACCATCCATCGGTGGAGGAAAAAACGCGCCAGCATGTGAGGGAGGAGAGCTGAGTCCATCGGCTTGGCCAAGCCCACTGGAAAGAAAATAGGGCCCGCCGGGCCCCCAAATTCAAAAAATTCCAATTTTTTATACCCAAAACCCTCCCGCATTTGTTCTTTCTCCACCATTCAATATTTTCCCTCTCTCTCTAAAAACAGTTCGTTCCCCTCTCCTCTCCCTTTCCTCACCCGATCCTGTGTGTGACGACATCGGCGACTGCGACGGTGGTGCGAGGAAACGACGACGACTGCGTTGGTTCTTGTCGAGGGCGACTTTGACTTTGACTGTAGCGGCAAGAACGACGGTCACGGCAGCTGCGACGGCGGCTTTGACAGCAGTGCGACGGTGACGGCAGCGAGACAAGGACTATGGCAATAAGGTATGCGTCTTCCTTTGCTTCATTCGTACTTAAAACTGTTAGATTTCATAGATTCGTTTAAGGTTTTGCATGGATAGTATTTAGGGTTTCATGGATTAGGGGTTTTGGATGGCTCGGCTTGTTAATAGTTCGTTGGGGTTCGTCTGGATGCTTGGGATTCATTTTCATGGTTGTGTGATTCTTTGTTTTTGGTTTAGTGTTCGGTGGGGTTGATGGATACGAGTGTTGACGGGTTTGGGTATTACCCTGGTGTGCATGGCTACGATTTTGGGTAACCCGGTTTTAATTTTTGTTGATTTGATTGGATCGGGGTTGCTTGTGTTTTGGGTTTTGTGTATCTGGGATCTGATATTAGTTTTGTTCAAGCAGGATATAAGTTTTCATTTGCCTGTATATCTGTTTGGTATATCTGGATATTCCTACGTTGATATTGGTTTTGGTCGAGCTTGATATCAGTTGTGAATTTCCTTGATAGTTGTTTGACGAATGTGGATATTCTACTGTGCAGGGAAATCACAATGGAAAGAACTAAAGCTACTGCAGCAAGGAGGACCAGAACAGAAGGCGAAAACTCGAGGCCTAAACGTGCTAAAAAACAACAGCAAGATGAGGAAGAAGAATTTGATTTTGAGGATGCAGAAATTGAGCACGAAGACAGTGATGACCAAGAAGATGAGGAGGAAGATGACTAGGACGAAGAAAATGATGAAAAAGTTGCTGAAGGAGGAGGAGGGCGCCAATACAGATTTCGCTGTAGCACCAAGAAGGTGATATCGATTATAAAATACTGGAAGCAAGATCCACGGTACTATCAAGCTTGCAAGAGAGAGATCGAGAAGGCAGGATTTGGAGACCTATTTAAACTTCGGCTGGCCAATGTTCCTAAGGAGATGTTGCCTACCTTGATGGCACATTACGACATGTGCACCGAAAACTTCATTTTTTTTTGAAGGTGAGAACAAGAAGGTGCTCACCTTTTGTTGTATGCTTATTGAATTATTTATTGTATGCTTGACATTCTGGCTCATTGCTCTTTGTTCATCTGACCCGCAACAGGTGCTCACCATCCAAGATGAGGATGCTGCCTGTGTATACGGCATTCCTCTTGGTGGTGCTGAGATTGACCTTGTGAAGGCTAATTAGTCGATGCTTAAGGTTCTGAAGGAGTGGTCATGTCTCCCCGGAGTTGAAGGTAGAATTGTCTGTTACCAAGGGAAGAGAAGTTGCTGCTAGGGCGAAGGGACAAATGATGAAGTGGGGTAATGGGGATATCCACTTCTTGATGGTAAGTTATAGTTTAAAGTAGTGTATATTTGTTAGCATTCTTGGGATATTAGTTATTTTGATACAAGGTATCTGTTTAGCATGACTGGGTACTAGTCTGGGCTGCCTGGATAATGGTTGTTTTTTTATTGGTATATCTTTTCTAACAGACACGTTTTTTTGTGGCTTCATTTGATGGACTCCCTTAAGGTCAGAGGATTTGCCACAAATACCATCCCCAGCTGCAGCTATTAGGTAGAACCAAGGGTGGATAACCTATGTTTGGCTGTCCCCAAGGCCGAACTATATGATGTGGCTCCGGTGTTGTTGTCGAGATAAGAAGCCCGATCTCGCTTCTTTCCCAAACGTGTCAGGAGGGAGTGGGAATCAAGAACAAGCAGCTTAGCTACTCCTACAGCTTCTCCGTAGTTCTACACGACGAAATGGTGGGAGGAAATAGACCTGGAATCCCTTGAGCCCGACGATGTATGTAGATGATTGTCTTTTAAACTAAAAATCATGGGTTAGTAGACATGAATGCATGTAGTAAACTAATTTTTTTGCAACGTATGTGTAGCTTAAGGCACTTCAGTTCTTGACTGAAAAAGTGATGCATAAGTGGGATTCATGGCGGGAAAGTGTTCGAAGGGTTGCCATTAAGCGTCAGCAAGACAAGAATTGAACTTTGCATGTTTCTTCTATTTAAGGGGTTGTAATGTTTCTTGATAGGATGTTATAATTTCCATGTTGGAATGGCTTTGAACAATAGTTGTATCGAACAAAGGTTTGTTTTATGTTGATTTTGGATATTGGTGTGTATTGGTTTTAGATATTATTTATGAATTGCATGAATGACAGTTGTTTTTATAACGGGTAGTAGTTATTTTCAACCTGGATATTTTTGCGTTATGGATATTGTAATGAAAGCACAGGTTAATAGTTCCTTAAAGCCTAGTTACTACATAAGTAGATAGTAGTCTGGGCTTTCTGGATTCTAGTACAAAACTTTAGGATATTAAAACTTTCACAAGCAGATATTAATATGTGCTTTCTGGATATTCATTGCTTAATTGTTAGATACTTATCTGGGCAGTCTGGATAATAACGTTTAAATGCTTGCACCCGTTTTCCCGCTCGACTTTGTGGGTGCTGAGCCTACAGGAATCGGGGCAGATTCGCAGTATTTTCTTCCTCTTTGGTAGCAGAAGCAAAAGCAAAAATGGAAGAGGAGGTAGTTGTCAGGGAGGAGGAAGATCTGGTAGTTGTCATGAAGAGGAAGGTTAGTCAAGGTACCGTGAGAGGCAACAACATGTTTAGCCGCATGTACTCCAGGAAAGGACGTAAGAAGACAATGCTGCTAGTTGTTTAGGAGTTGGAGGTGCCAACCTTTACATCAACAGTTGATGACGTGGTTGAGTTAGTCGTTAAGTCGACTGTTGGATAAGTGGTGGAGTCGGAGTCATTTCTTGAGCCCGAGGTGATGGATACTGTTGTTGATCCGGTAGTTCAGCAGTCTTCGTCGCCGGCCATTATGTTTGATCTGGTAGTTCAGCAGATGAAGTCGTCGACCATTGTTTCGACTTTTGATCAAGTGGTGGAGTCGGAGTCAATGGTCCAGCCTATGGTCATACATTATACTGACCCGGATACGACATTCCATGATGTGATGCACATTGCTTTCCAAATCACTGTTGCTGTTGAAGAGAGTATCAGGACATCTCCGACTACGGTAATATTTCCCTTACCAGTAGATACTAGCCTGGGCATCCAATTTCTTCGTTTCTTTTTTTTTTTTGGATACTAGCCTGGGCTGCCAGGATATTCGTTTCTTTTTCTGCGGATACTAGCCTGGGCTGCCAGGATATTCGTTTCTTGTTGAGTAGATACTAGCCAGGGATGATGGTCATACATTTGGTAATGTTTTGTAGATACCTGTCGAGGCAACTGATGCTGCTCAACATCTCCGACTACTGTAGTCGATCCTTCTACTGAGGTGCTGACGCAAGGAGAAGCACGACCATCAGAGGAGGAGCTTATAACAGCATCATGTGAGAGAATGGAGGATAGCGACGATGATATTATAATATGCGAGAGAAGTAGGACTGAGGAGGAGGCAGATTTTCTGTACTCTATCACAGCGGAAGCATGGAAGGCAACCCTAAAAACTCCAGAGTTTGAGAGGTCAAAACACCACCCATTCGGCGAATCAGTGTACGTTCTGCCAAAGAATATGTTGACAAAACTCGATGATCGACTCTGCAAGTGGTTGAGTTCATCTTCAGTGCCAATGCTAAAAACGAGTAAGTTGTCATGTTAAGTTATTTAATCACCAATTTCAATCTGTCCAACACAGATTACTAACCTGGTTTTCATTTGTGTTTTACAGTGGAAACTATGTCGTGGATACTCCAACCAGTAACTTTACCCGTTACTAGCTACTTTCATTGAAGCGTAAAAATTGGGTGCATAGCCAAGTACTTATAGTATACGGGCAATTCCTAAATGACAAAGAAGTACGCAAGGAGGTGGTGAAGAGAATTGTCTTCCCATGGAGCTATGTAGTAAGTATTATCTTTACTACTTAGATCCTATTTATATTGAAAATGTCTAATTTGATATTGTTGTCTCTTCTAAATAGCAACATGTCGTCAATAATGCCATCAGAAAACAACCCATGGACAAGGCGAGACTCCCTGCGGTAAATTTATATGCACAAAAGGAATCCAATGTTGAAATGGGAAAAATTGAAAAGATGTGATTGCGTAAGTGTTTTCAATGTCTGGGTTTTTTCCCCTGATTTCCCTTGATATTGGTCTGGGTTTATAGGATATTATTTTGGGTTGTTTAGATATTAATTTGGGTTGTTAGGATATTAATCAATGATGAACTCACTAACTGCTTTGTGTTTCAGATCTTCTTTCCAATGTATCTAAATGATCACTATCGGGGTGTACGTGGCTGACATGAAGAATATGAAGACTTTCCTACTCGACAGCCAAAAGCCTAATGCCTGAGTGGCTAAGGAGAACCATGGACCAGTTGGGAAAATGATTTTTGGGTATGCGGCAGCGTTCCTCAAAGAGCAGGGGGTCGATTATACATTAAATGAGTGAGCTATGGGCGGGTCACCTTCTAGTGGAATATAAAGCAAGTTGGCACAAGTAGCCACATGTGGAGGAACAACGAGCACGGATTGCAGCCAGCCTCATTTTATGGGACTATAACCTCCATCTCGATGCAATAATTCAAGGTGCAAAAGATTGAAATACTTAGAAAGAGAAAGGGAAAAGGAAGAGAAGTTGATTTTAGATTTGTGTAGTGTGATATTGGTTTGTAAAACTGAACTTAGGGTTGGGTATTATTTAGGGATGGATGCTATTTAGGGTTGGATAATATTTAGGGATGGATGATGATTTGTAGCAGGATGGAGGATATTTTGCCAAATGTTTGATATAATTACCAACATAAGTTCTGATTGAAAAATATATTGTAACCTCCCATGTAAATATGTCTTTTTGTAGACTAATATCCTTAAAGCAAAGACTAATATCCTTACAGCCAAGACAAATACCTGCTTTATTTGGACTAATATCAGCAAATCTCAGACAAATATCCTTAAGACCTAGACAGATACATGTCTTCCAGTAGACTAATATCAATAGAGCACAGACTAATGTCCTTAAGGCCCAGACCAATACCCTTCTTTTTGTAGACTAATATCCTTGGAGCCCAGACTAATAGTAGATAAAGATGGATGGCACTTTGAATCAGAAATATAAACAAACTCAACACAATACAAGATGATGACAGGATATACTAATTCATTTCCTCACGGTCTCCTCGGTGTTATCTTCATCATCCGAATCTGAAAAGGCGGGGAACATTACTTCGTCCCAATCCATGTGAAAACCACACCCCTTATCATTGTCATACTCGTACATCAGACATCGGAAATACCTCTTCAGTGGGTTGACTCCATCAACAACAAGTTGTCTAGCGGCTCTCCAACCATGGTACAGAGCATAGCACCATCATATTCGAACTCATCCACCAATCTCCGGCGCGTTGGTTTAGGAGTCTCTCCAGACATGGATTTTGCTTTGGAAGAGAAGAAGAAACTGAGGGAGGAGGATAGCCGATTTGGGTTTGTGTGTGATTTGTCTTAAATAGACAAATGGTCATAGGGAAGTACTCTAACAACATGTCATTAGAGAATAGAAACAAAACCCTCACATGAGTACAGTAACAAAAAAGGTCACATGTGAATAGTGAAATAAGTAATAATTGGTACTATTGAACCTGCTTTTGAAAATACTGATATCCAGGAAGCCCAGACTAATATCGATACATATTAGACTAAATATCCAATTCGCCCAGACAAGTATCTTTTACAAGTGGATTAATATCCACATCATCACAGAAAAGTATCCTGGAATCACCTGTCAATATCATATCACAATAGACCAATCTCGAACCACCCTACATTCTATTCATAACCATTGAGTAATATTATCATCCAAATCACTAAGATGGTCATCCGGTTGAGTATTGTTGTCCGACGTGACCACTTCAACTGATTTCATTATATTCCTATAGACACGTTTCTTTCGCGAGGTTCCTTTCATTCTTATACTGATAACGTTCTTTACCTTGGCTCCTTGGATTACTCTTCTCCTTCAAAGTCAACCCAGTTATCGGTACAGTCCATCCTACAATGTTAGAGAATTTAGTAAATGCAATGATATTAAACTCTAATAATTTACAAATGATATTAGTGAATACATTTACTGTCCTTGCTAGTTATAGTCTTTGACAATGCCTTGTTTGCCTCATTGCACAGTTTCTTGAGTACTTCCATCCGCTTATTGTAGTCTTTCTCATCGGCCATCGACAGGTTCGTTGCTAGCTGATTCAACATTGCAGTGGTTTCTTGGTACCGCATTGCTATACCTTTTCCCGCATCATTCTCACTAGCAGCTGAAGGACCAAAAGAACCATCGACATCAACAACCTCTTTCTTTCTCGCCTCCAACGTCTATCGCTTGAGTATGTAATGATCTGGAATACTTCTCATACTGGCTTCCCCAAAATCTCCAAGAAGCCGCATCACCTTAATCATGTGGTGGCATAACACTCCGAAAGTTCTGAACATCCTGCATGCGCATACCAATGTCCTCGTAGAAATATCGACGAGAACGACACGCTCATCACTATGCTCACCATCCTTTATCATGTATGTGTGGTAGCCAATCATCCCTAGTATCTGAGAGTGTCTCCATTGGATAGGATTCAGTTTTCAAATACTGCTCATGTATCCGATTGAAGATGTTAGGAGTAAAGATATTTGCAGCATGTTGTAGGATCGGGCTATGCTCCAACATTATATAGGGAACCGATTGTTTCCCATTGTAGTCCGATTTAGTCTCATTGCGTCTTTTTTCAGCCAACAAACTACATTTAGAAAGCACGAGAAAAGAGTTTAGTGCACAGACTAATATCCACTCAGACCAGTACTAATATCCCACCAACACAAAGTAATATTTAACAAAACCATATTAATATCCAGATGACACACACAAATATCCAGACCTAACAAGCTAATATCAAAGAAAGGCAAAGAAATATATTGCGTACGTACCTGCTAAAGTGAATGAAAAAGAAGTCCAAATCATGCCTCGGTTTCAAGAAAGTCGCACTTGTGCATTGCACGACTCGATGGCTTGCGTAGTCAACATCCCGGCTGTGAATTGATCTCTCAACCATAAGGAACACCATCGATGATGAAATTTCTTCAGATATTCCAACCATGGGTGACCGTCCTCAATTTCGCTATTAGGGAAATAATCAGCAACCATTGTGCTCCATGCCATGTCGAACTCTCCCTCACTGTCGATGTGGTAGAAAATAAAAGAAAGATGAGTTTGGAACTTCTTCCAAAATGCCTTGTCCTTACGAAGATTCTTCTTGGCATTAATGAGAATGTGCCAAGTACAGAGGGCATGAAACACAGTGGGCCACTCCTTTCTAAGCGCAGCTGCCATGGCGGCGTCCTGATCAGTAAAAATGGTGGCTAGCAGCTTTTTCTTCATGCATCGACTAAATGCAACAAACAACCATTCAAAAGACGGTGTAGTCTCATCATACATCAAACAAGCGCCAAACACACAAGTTTGACGGTGGTTATTGAAACCTAAAAGCATCCATACACAAGACAACTATTAATGAAAATGCATAACCGAACGAGTGTCCAAAAACTCAAGTGAATTAGGTGATTACTCTCCTACTATTATTGTTTCATAGGCCTTCGGCCCATGGGCTCTCGGCGGGCAGCCCTAACTAAGGTTGCAAGTCTTATGTGTTAGGACTTGATAGTGTGCCAACACATGTCAACAAATATCTGTAAAGCGCAGATTAGTATCCCATAATGGCGGACTAATATCCGTATTGTTACAAAAGCATATCCTGTCATCACATGTCAATATCGGATCACAACAAACCACTCTCGAACCACCCTACATTCTATTCATAACCATTTCTGTAATATACGTACAAACATCCATGCACAAGACAACTATTAATGACAATGCATAACCGAACGAGTGTCGAAAAAACTCAAGGGAATTAGGTGATTCATGTACCCAGTGGACAGAAGTATGTATTGGTTCGGAAGGTGGTATCAAAGGAGACTGAATCTCCAAAAAACGCATAATCTTCACGCATCCTACTGTCCGCCCAAAAAATATTAGCAAATTTCTCCTCGCAATCTTCCTCTACAGCATAAAAGAAGCCAGAATGCTTGTCTTTTTGGTCCTCAAAGACGTAGTCAAGCAAATAAGTCGCTTCGCCACGAGTCATTTTCCTTTGCCTTTTACTGTTCAAGTGGTTCTTCTGATTGGATTTGGTAAAAGTCATATTCTAATAGCCACCAGCACAGTCAGCCAATAACTGATAGGATGCACTAAGACTCAACCCGGTATCGCGATTAACTTCGGCTATCTTTCTCTGAGCATCACTCATGCACTTGTTGGACTTGTGCAAGTGCATATTCTAGGTAGAGTGCAAATCATTACTGTGAGGCCGTTATAGATGAAATGGAATCGTTAGAGGCTAATAAGACTTGGCATCTAACAGACTTACCTCCTGGCTGCAAAGTCTTAGGTAATAAATGGGTTCTAAAAACGAAACGGAAACCTGATGGTGCAATCGAAAGGTTCCGAGCTCGCCTAGTAGTCAAGGGCTACAGGCAGAGAGAGAATATAGATTTCTTCGACACCTATTCACCAGTATCTAGAATAACATCCATTCGTGTCATGATTGCTCTTGCTGCCTTGAACAATCTCGTGGTACACCAAATGGATGTTAAGACTGCTTTTTTGAACGGTGATCTAGATGAAGAAATCTATATGGAACAACCAGAAGAGTTTGTTATCCCTGAACATGCCTCGAAAGTCTGTAAGTTGGACAAATCATTATATGGTTTGAAACAGGCTCCAAAACAGTGGCATGAGAAGTTTGACACTCTCGTTCTCTCACATGGCTTTAAGGTGAATGAAAGTGACAAGTGTATTTACTGCAAGTCAGAGAATAATACTTGCACTATCATATGTTTGTATGTAGATGACATGTTGATATTTGGTACAAATATTCACGTGGTCAATGAAGCGAAAGCCATGTTAAAAGAGAGCTTTGAGGTGAAAGATCTGGGAGAAGCAAAGTTTATGCTTGGAATCCTGATAACTAGAACAGCAAATGGTTATTCTCTAGATCAATCTAGTTACATAGAGAAGATCTTGAAGAAGTATAACTATTTCGACTGTAAACCTGCGTGTACTCCGTATGATGCTAGTGTAAAGCTATTCAAGAACACTAGAGACAGTGTAAGACAAATAGAATATGCTAGCATCATTGGCAGTCTCCGTTATGCTGCGGATTACACTCGACCAGACATTGCATATATCGTGGGATTGCTTGGCAGGTTTAACAGCTGTCCTAGTAGAGAGCATTGGAATGCTATAGAGAGGGTCATGAGATACCTCAAGAGAACAGCAAACCTTGGTATACACTATCAAAGGTTTCCCGCTATACTAGAAGGGTATAGTGATGCGGATTGGAATACTCTATCAGATGACTCCAAGGCAACCAGCGGATATGTTTTTAACATCGCTGGTGGAGCTGTGTCTTGGAAGTCAAAGAAACAAACAATCCTAGCTCAATCAACTATGGAATCAGAGATGATAGCACTAGCAACGGCTAGTGAAGAAGCAAGTTGGTTGAGAGGACTGTTGTCAGAGATTCCCCTATGGGAAAGCCCGGTCCCTCCGGTATTGATACATTGTGATAGTACCGCAGCTATCGCTAAAGTTGAGAACCGGTTCTATAACAGAAAGAAACGACAGATTCGTCGTAAGCACAGTACTGTTAGAGAACTCCTAACGATAGGAGCAGTGAGGGTGGATCATATAAGATCCGAACAGAATCTATCTGATCCTTTGACGAAAGGATTACCTAGAGAGAAAGTCCAGAATACCGCCAAGGGTATGGGACTTATGCCTACCGAACCACGGACTACAAGTGATGGTAACCCGACCCAATAGACTGGAGATCCCAAGAAATGGGTTCAATGGGTAATAACAAGTCATGAGTAGTATGCGAAAAGTTCATGCATAATGAAGCATGAATCCCAAAGCTATGGAGGTTTAGTTAATAACTCTTAATGAGATCTATACCCTATGTGGGGTGGAGTACTTTACTTTGGGGGTACTCCTGATAGACTCACCTATGTGAATGTGGGAGTGGGGCCGCTCCCTATGGAACTTTGAGAGGCACAAAGTTGCTAGAGCGTTCACTAAACCAGGATAACGTGCATGGCCATAAACGCACGGGCTAAGAAGAGAACACAACTCAATGAAAAGATCCAGTGTGCTACACTGTCTGAGATAGGGTTCAAGACTACGAGTCACCCTTATGAAATCGGAAGTGTAACCACTACGCTAAGGTTCAAATCTTCGCGATACCTTAGCTTATGCCCGATCTTATGGAACTGTTGATGCTCAGAGATAGTTTCAAAACTATTCAAGTGGGGGATTGTTGGAAATGTGTATGAATAGCTTTGAAAGCTATAGAGTCTCAAGTGGAAAAACTACCACATTGGTAGTTTTACTTGGTGAAATGAGTATAAAGATAGGAGCCTCTCTCCTAAGGGCATGCCCCTTGGGGTGACCCACTTTTGTGGGAGAGGGAGGACCTAACGGACCACCACACACACGCGCGCGCGCGCGCCGTCCGTCTGACCGGTCGGATGGATGGATGGATGGATCACTTGAAACTATATTCTAAGGGATAATCGATTGAAAAGGAATATTCGAAGGATAATCCCCGCAGGATTTATCCTAACCGACGGTTTTAATTAAGGAAGTAATTATCTTCCTTAATTAATCCAACTTATTCCTCAAGCAAGAGGGTATATTCCTAGGGGTTCGGCTCCTATAAATAGCCGCCTCCCCAGCCCCTCTAAACACACAACAACGAGCATAAACACAATAGAGAGAGTGTTCAGAGAGCTCCGGTTTTTCGCACAAAACCGCGAGTACACATAGGAGCTGTTTTATCCTGGAGACGACCGGTTGATAGTCTGCCGTGCGCATCGAAGGCAGTGTCGCGAACGTCTTAAAGAGAGCGACCTAGTCCGCGACTCAGCTCCAGATTCGATATCCTCGTCTGGTTGTTGTTCCGTTTCTAACAATATACGACCTCCGGTACGGTATTTCAATCCTTCCTTATTACTCACAAGTCACAACCTATGCGAAACACCAAGCCCTACAATTCGAATCTAAAATTCGACATTTCGTCTCAGATAGGAGATCTACAACCAACAGAAATGAGAGTCAAATGGTGTGCGCAATTACCATGGGAAATCTTTCAGCAGTTGACTATGTATAATCCAAATATGGCTGCACTTACAACAACCAAACCACCATCGATCCTCCACGGTTTTTACATCCTATTGGGGAGCAAAACCGAGTAACACCAAAAACTGCAGAACCCAAAATGACGAACTTCCAGCTATGAAGATTCAACACTGAAAGCCTGTATGCCTGTGAATCCAAGCAAAAGAAAAGCACCCTAACAAACTCTGTAGTCTGTACCACAACATATTCTATGCACTTTTCCCTCTTTAACCCCTCTATCTATGTACTACTCCTTTATCCACAGAAATGGGGAGAAATGAAACAGAAGGTTGAACAACAATTTAAACATTTGTTTTGTAATTTCCCCTTGTAAATGAATCAGATTGTTGAGACTGCGGGGCCTGAGACTGAGGAACCAGATGAAGAGGCACTGGCTTCACCTACGACAGCCTTCTGTTTCATGGATGGCACGGGTTCCGGAATATCCCAGATATCCAAAGAATCTGGGAGAGGAATGTCAATCTGCAGGAAGACAAGGAAGACAAAACATAAGGGCATTGTTAACTAGTCGAAGTATAAACAAAAAACACATTATAGGTGCCACAACAAGAGCCTATACTGGGTAGGTCCCAGGATAAGTTGAGATTCAATAGTAGCCTAACCATATGGTAAAGAAGCTACAAACAATAAAGAAATTACTCTGCAGATGGAAGGGAAAACTGTTGAGTAAGGGATCAGTTTGAAATACAGTACCAGCATCTTGCGAGAAGATACCAAAGCTAGAAGACAAGAAACCCAAGAAAACACTTGAAGGTTTTCTACCACTTTTTAAGAAAAACAATGAAACAGTTATGGTACGTCCTATACAAAATCAATCTTTCTTCTCTTTTGCTTCTTGACCATGAGAGAATAAAGCTCCCCTCTTTACATTCACTCTATAACATAACCTAAATTACAACCTTAAAGCCTTCAAAAAATATGCGAAGTTACAAACTAAAATAAGACGCAAGAAAAGCACTTCACCGGATGGATCGCAGATTCCTCGCTAGAGATAAACAATTACAAGAAGTGAGCAGAGATGACTAAATACACAGATTATTCATACAAAGGAAATTGGGAAAAAGAGTAAGCAACGATAAGCAATAACATTAAACAAGCAGCGAAACAGTACAAAGGTACAAAGAGGTACATATAAGTGGCATAGTTAGTGATTGAGCAATAAACCGAGCTAAATCAAATCTCTAACTTAAGAAATACTTTGGACATGAAATACAATCTAGGAAAATAAGCATCAACCGTGTCGGATTAGATAAATACTGCTGTACCAGAGTCAGCACCTGAAGCCAAGAGCATCGCACAGTTAAACAGCCAGTAAGTAGAAAAAACAATTCAAAGGTTACTCTTCACTGACCTCAAGCTGGTTAAGCATGTCAACAGTGCTTTCCAAGTCTCCATTATTAGCTGCATACACATCCATAAGTGATTCTGTAGATACACCAGGAAATGTCATCTGTAGGAATTCCAACTCAAAGTCAGACTCTTCATCGATAATTTGTTTATCGGTTCTTCCATCATGAAGTTGCGATGATGAACCATAGAACCCATGCCCATAGTGGCTCTCTGTAGATGCTGAAGTAATTGGAGAAGCTTTCCCCTGCTGTCCATTCTCAGCAGCATAGCCAGGTCCATACCACACATTTCGATTGCCACTCTGTGAAGGTTTTGCAACTACCCCTGGAGACTGAGTATGTTCAACTACCTCCCTCCTAGAAAGAGGTACATATGAGGCTGCATACGGGTTCAAACTAGAATTTCCTGCCTTCATTGCTTCAATTGAGAAAACAAAGCACTGAGAATCAAGAACAAACAACAAGAAAAAGAAATTAACTCCCACCAGCAAATTTGGCAGGACTTCTGATAGGAAATGCGTAATTGCTGAAGTTCACAAGGTTCTGAATCTAAGAAAGTTGGACAATTCAAGACAGACGAAATCATCTTTAACTTCGATTGTACCAATGCTTATCCACTATCCAGCTATAGCCAGGCTATTCTTTGACTGCTTCTTAAACCTACAGTATCCTTTAACAAGCAAATGACAGATTAAACTGATCGAAAAAGATAAGCAGAAAGTTCTCCAGAAGATTTTCAAAGTTCACAACAACTACACAACCAAACCAACCCACAATGGTCACCGAGCCTTAAGGCAATGGCAGGAATCTAGTTACACAAACACTTTTTATCCATCCTCATCAATCATTCAATCACCACAAGATGCTGAAATTAGAAAGATAGCTAAGAATTTCAATTGCAATCAAACAATTCAACCCTAGCAGTTGAAGAAAGCAGTCTCCATAACAAATTTCTTCAAAGCTTCAGAGAAACTTCACCTAAACAAAACGAATTAACTATAAACCACACACAACAATCATACACTGTAACTGTAAGAAAAAAAAAACATACACTGTACAAATAAACAAGCGAGAGATAATCTTTTACGATTCATTTTTCATAACTCGTAACCCTACTCCACACTACGTATTTCCACCGCGGGAAATTCGAAACAAGATCAGACTGGATTATGAGTCCAAACAACACAGACCGATGAGCGGAGCCCGCCGTTCTAACAAAGTAAACCTCGCTCTATAACGTAACCAAGAACAACGCATCACAGCTTAGAACAGCGACGGTTATTTGCTCGCAGATGTACCTCGACAGCGGAAGCGCGGGAATGTGGAAAGATCTTCGCGAAATGATACTGGAATCGGAATTCTTCCCCTCACCGCTTAGAGTTCGTCGTTCAGATCAATTGAGCGCCGGTGAGAGCTTGGCTTTTGGCGCTGTTTGGCTTCGGCTTCGGCTTCGGCTTCTTCTCGAGACGAGCAGAGAGGAAACGAGTATTTAAGGAGAAGAAACTATTGAGAGCGAAATTGAAAAGAACGAGAGCGTCCACGGCCGTTTACTAGCTCCCCTTTCGTGGGTCCGTTAGGTAACGACGGCTACTTGTAACCGGCTAACCGCCAGAAGACGGACTTATCTGCTAGATGGAAATGATAAACAACGATATCTTAGGGTCTGAATTGGTAATCAAAACGAGTAGAAGGACTGAATGTGAATTATACGACGATGAGTATCGTCCTATCCCAAAGGAAATCAAATTCGAGACAGTGGATGAGGTGAAGCGCCGAAGTGAACACAGCTCGAGAAGCAACAGCAATGGCGCTTCTCTGCTCGCCTTCTCTGTTCGTTTCCCACCATGGGCGGCAGCCCCTTCTATACAGGTGATTCTTTTTTCTCTTTCGCTTCGTCGTCTGTTATTGAGATGGTTTTGTAATCGCTTTCATCGGGGTTCGATTTGGATTGGGTGGCAGTAACGAGAGCAGAATCTTGCTAAACCAGAGGAAATGCGAGTTAAAAGTGGACAAGATTTCCATGGTCTGTAGCTCTTGTGGCGCTTCTTCTTCTTCCTCCTCGCCGTCCTCTTCAAGACCCAGTTCGGGAAACGGGGTTTTGAGACGGGATTTGATGCTGTTTGGGCTCTGTTCTTCTCTGGCTTCTGTGGCGCCAATTTCAGGTGAGGCTCGAGTGATCATTAAGCTCTACGGTATTTCTTTTGTTATTATGGTTATGATATCATGATTCACTGAATCGTCCTGCTCGAAATTTCTGACTCCTGAAGAGTGTCTGGCGGAAGATGATGTGAAAATGGGTTCAATGGTTGATGAGATTAATGCCTACAGTTACTTATATCCAATGGAATCGCCGTCCAAGAAGTTCACCTTCAAATGGTACGTGTTTTGATTGAATTGAACCTTCCCGGAAACTCTGGATTTCATTTTCTTGAATTTGGGATGTACAGTATTGTGTTATTGAGATTACCTTTGGAGGATGATGAAAGTTGAAACCTTCTAATACTTGTCAAACTTTTGAAGGGTGGAATCAAGAAAGCCGGAGCGATACTCATCAGCTGCACCATTATCCCGTAAGTTCACTTCCCTTTGGTGTTCTTTGCAAAGTTCCGAGATTTGTTTTCTGGGGGAAAGGAAACTCCAAATGTACATTAATGTAAAGCCAAACTGAGGTTTTGTTGACTGTTTCTGACATTGTTACCAGCTGATGCACGGCTTAGGATTGTTTCTGAGCGTGTTGATATCATTGACAACCTCGTGATTTCTGTTTCGGTAACGTACCACATTATTCATACTGATGTCCTTCCTTTGATAGAAGCTGCAATTGTTTTCTTTACTCGCCCTCTCTCCGAGGATTATGATTCCATCATTGGATTCAGATAGGCCCTCCGAATGTTGAGTTCATAAAATCTAAGGACAAGAGCAGCTGGAATGCCAAAGATGTGGCTGACTCGGTTTTGTCCGACAAGTCTGCACTGGTAAAGTCTGTCACTTCTCTTCTCCACTTCGTATAGTGGAATGAAGTTATATTGTGAAATTCTTCATTCACATCTCCAGCAACTCGGAAACTCTCCAATCTAGCCGCTATGTGAAAATGCTATGAATTCTGAAGAGTACTGTACTTGTTAGTATTGCAATGTGGCTTGGATAATTTGTTAATCAGTTCATTTTGGTGCTGCTGTTTTTTGGCAGCGTGTCACATCGAGTCAGCGACTGGCTGAGAGCTCTCTTCTTGATGCACATACAACTGAAGTGAGCTCCAAAACAATCATTCTTATAATTACTATAAGCACTGATGAATCTGCCATCTCTTAAACATAACAACCATCTATCACTTATTACAGATTGATGGACAGCCTTACTGGGTCTATGAGTATCTGGTCCGCAAGTCGCCTACCAAAAATGTAAGCACCGTATTAAGTCTTTTCCTTTGAACGAAGCACAGATACCGTTCTTACTTGAATGATTCAAATGCTTGTCAAATGGAAAATGTTGCAGGTTCAGGAACCAAGCCTCTACAGACACTATGTTGCCTCAACGTTCGAAAGAGACGGTTATTTGTACTCGCTGAGTGCTTCGACTCTCAACAAACAGTGGGACAAGGTCTGTATCTCGAAACATAAATTGCGCCGTGCCTCTCCTCTCATCTCCTTATTATACATTTGTTGTTGTTTCCTTCTTCTTGGTTGATTAATGGGTTAGACCAACGCTACTGCAGATGGGACCTTTCCTTGAGAGAGCTGTATCATCATTTCGCCTTCTGCCTCCCACAGATGAATATGTACCCCCATTCAAAGACCCTTGGAGATTTTGGTGAAGACTTCTTTCATTTCCCATTTTCTTACCACGATTAGTTGAAAGCTGAGTTTCCTTTGTTACCTCTGGTTGTCTGGCTCCATATGTATGCATGAGAATATATATTTGAAGCGCCACAATTGCCCAAACTGAATTTTACCGAAATAAGGGTTCGTATTTCAGTCCGGTACCCAGGTTTTTTTTTTGGAATCCCACCCGAACCGAGCCAGAAACCAGAAATTTGAAAGTTTAGATCTTGGGTAGCTGAGAGAGTTGAGGGATTGGAGGTAAAGAAAACACAATGGTGATTGCAAACTAAGGCTAGTGATTATAGACCAGCTCACACATTTCCATAAGCTAAAGAATAAACAGAGTATATGTACATCTTTTCTAACCTCATGTCGTGGCTACTATCGAACAACGGCTATTTACTATGCTCCATAGAACCCTTCAGGCTTCAATTGCTCCAATCAAGAAAACTGTGAAAGTACGGCGAAGTGAAGGTGTGTGTCTAGTCCTGTGAGGTCGTGGAATACTCGGAAATGAGGCATTTCGAAGGAGCAAACTGTAGGAGAACACACAATCGACTTATGAGTTGGTAGATGAGAGTCCATTGCATGGCCACTAAAAAATTAAGTATGGAATTCTGATGAATTGATAATAAGGCGGCAGGGTACCAAGTCGGCAAGCCGACAAGGTACCGGCTTAATGAGCCTTCAAAAACTAAACATAGAGATCAAGCCGCTAGGGTGTCAACCCAATGAGATGGAGGTGACAAGGCGGTTTAGCTACTGAGCTCACAAGACGACTTGGTGGCAAGACGAGGCTTCCGAGGTGCTAGCTTGACGAGCTCTTAAAAACTGTGTATGGAGATCAAGCCAACAAGATAGGCTTGGTAGCAAGGCAACGGGGCACCAAGCTAGCAAGTCAATGAGGGATAAGATAATAGGGCCTTACAGCAGGCATAAAGCCGGAAGGTTTCAAGCGCATGAAGTATGGGTTTAATTGTAATGAGGCATGGTATCAAGTCAGCAAGGCGACAAGGTACCAACTAGAGAATTATATGAAAACTAAGTCTGGAGATCAGACAAAATGAGTTTGATGATAAGTTGATAGGTAACAAAGCGACAAGACAACAAGGTTTCAAGTTAATCACGCGAGCTTGGTGGCTAGCTCATCGAGTAGGGAGTTATGCAACAATCCCTAACTTCTCAAAATTAAGTATGGAGATCAAATAGATGAGACAAATTTGGTACAAGGTGGCAAGTTGACAGGGCATCAAGTCAGAAAGTATCAAGTTGGTAAGAGGGACTTAGAGATATTCTTGGTGGCAAGATGGGTACCAAGTCGATGGAATAGACTTATTAACAAGCTAGTGAGACCGCCACAAAGACTAAGTGTGGAGTCTTGATGGGTAAAGCCCCATGTATTTAGAAGTGAAGGAGTTAAGTTATCATCTCGCTGATGAAGTGTGCTAGGTAACAAGATTGCCCAAGACGACAACAAATGAGCTAAGTGTGAACAATGCCGTCAAAATCAGGATTTTGATCGTAAAATCGTAGGATTTTACTTAGGGATTCCGATCCTGATTATACTATAAAATCGGTGGACCATAAAATCGTTCAAAATCGGGATTAAAATCGTTAAAATCGTACCAAAATCGGGATTTTGATCCTATGTGAACAAAATAAGGAGGTTGAGCCAATTCAAAAGAAGCAGAATTGTTTCGGTGGAAAGAGCAATGGCGGGAATCTTCTCATATATTTTTCCTATTAAAAGAGCATTTGAAAAGAAGAAAATAAAACTAATTAGGATTTGGTCAACCCCTTTCCCTTCTCCTTGTTTAACTCATCGGTAAAACAATTATCAGAATATTGTAAGTGCGTAAGAATTAACATCATTATTAATAAATTATTTGATTAATGAATATATTTGTACCAAACCAATGACATTAATTATTTTATTGGATTTCAGTTATTCTTAGTTTTAAATCATGCTTAGTATACGATGTCGGGATACTACTTTGAGTTAAACTACCTAGACACAACATGAAAAATAAGAGCCAAACCCCATGAGCTCTATCCCTTCCTCATAAATTATTTTGAGTTACGCATTAAATAACAATTAAAATGATGATTTTGGAACATTAATCTTGAAAATTATCACTTTAAAGGTTATAAGTCTTTGTGTTATTAATTATTTACCTTATTAATATTATTATATGTTAATTTCTATATGGTACTTAAAATTCTACGATTCTACGATTCGATTTTACGATTCTGATTTTACCCCAGTTTCGATTTTAGGTAAAATCCCGATTTTAACTACTTTGAGTGTGAACTCATTGGGATTGTCAAGAGTGTGTTCAAGACTTTGTCATTAGAGGTAAGGCAAAAAGCTTCAACCCCCATCTAGTCAGGACATGACAACAGTCAACACCAACCCGACCATACGTCGAGTCTATCAAACATCAACTAGTCATCAGGATGGGCGAGGGGCCCTCAAGATGGAGTAATCACCAAGAAAACGGTTACCAACTAGTCATCAAGGCGACGATGAGAACCCCGAGGCGGTTGGAGCAATTGCCAACTGCACGGTTACTAGGGCAGTTACACTTTTTTTTTAGGGAAACCTATATTAATTTATTGATCAAGTAGAATCAGAGTTTCCAAACAAATCCTCTCTAAGAAGAGGTACAATGAAAATAGGTGGGTTATCAACCCAAATCTCTTCATCACCCCAATTGCCTTCAACCTGGCCATAGCATGGGCCACTTGATTCTTTCCTCGACCTGTAAAATTCCTAATTACTTTCACCAAATCTTGGGCCTGAGCCCGTAATGCAGCACAAAGGCAGCCCAGCTCCGTTCGTCTCTCTTCTTCCCTGCGTATCGTCTGAATCACCCCCAAACAATCTGACTTCATTTCCACTTCCAACCAACTAAACCTCCTCGCCAATTCCAATCCATACTCAATCGCCTTCGCCTCCGCCAGCTCTGGCTCCCACTGGATCCACGACCGTTTCACCCCTGCAAGCAGGCATCACCCTTCTTGTAACACCCTGCTACTTCTTGTAACATCCTACTACTTCTTCTCGTGCTATTGGAACCATTATCGCATTATATACTCATTAGACCTTAGGTTTTAACTTCACATTTAGAACTGGACACAACACTAGCATACGGGTTACATCATCTGCTTAGGAAATTTAGGATAGTTTTCCCAAAGCACCCCAAAAGCATAACACCGAATGGTGCAAAGTTTGAGTTTAAAACAAAGTACAAACCCAACATAGTAGTTTAACATTCAGTGGGTACACAAACTTAAAAGCGTTAAAACATTTAGTTCGACTTCAAAGTGAAAACATGGGGAGAGTTCACTTCCGCCGCACACCTTTCAGCCATCCGGCTGACTTCACTGGTTCGACCGAGGCTTCTGTTGTTGCTTTGGCTCTGAAAGGGAAAAATATTGGCGGGGGTGAGACGCCACTCAATGAGTAATTAATAACCCAACATATACTTTAGTTGCGCACGGTGATCAGGTGCACCAAGGGCTTAAGTTCACTTAACGAATCTAGTGGCTTAAATGGCACTTTACCCAACTATGTATGCAAGGTTCATTAACCGATCTAAACGGTTCTCATATTATACACACTTACCCTTGAGTTACTCATATCAAGCCCTATTCCAGATAAAAGCATTCACTAACACATCATTTAGGCATCACCATATAATCAGCAACATATGGAGGCATGTAACAACTACACAATCTCATAATGAATCATTGCATGAACACATCACAGTAAAGCCTTCCCATAAATACGTCAATCTCATGAACAATCTATTGAACTCATCGTAGGAAACAATCACATAGCCACATCACAGAAAATCCTTGTACCAAGGCTCAAACACAAGCATAGTTAGCTAGGTTATGTACATTTTACTTTTAATGCCAAGTTATGCACTCCCCGGGATCTCGTGAACTCGTGATCTCGTGATCTCGTAATCTCATAGGCACAAAGTGCCAAATCTCATAAACTCGTGGGCACAAAGTGCCATATCTCATGAACTCGTAATCTCGTGGGCACGAAGTGCCATATCTCGTGAACTCGTAGCCAGGCCTGGCGATACTCCTTATAGGGAGTTCTCGTATAACTCTTTTCTTCTCTTTTTCTTTTTATGAGTGCATAACAAGGCGCCATTATGTTTTTATTAGGTGACCACGTAGTTCATGGGTTAGACAATACTCATGTAAAGCATCTCGTCATAAGCCCGTAGGCACACATATCATATCATATACTCGTTGCTGCTATACACAATAATCTCAATTGCACATCAATACATGGTATTTAGTCGCTCATTCACCCTCTTATCCAAAAAGAGATGAAGAGGTGTGGCGTTTATTCACTCTTCCATACAGAACCATTTTCCCATCCCTCTTCTCATTTATTCCTAGATACACGTGTTTGGCTTCAGCCTTGCATGGGAAATGGGTTCTGTGAGCTAATTAAGGGTAGGAGGATACAGAGGCAACCAGGCTTCTTCATTATAGCCTACTCAATACTCAAGGTTGGGTGAATTGACTTCTATAGTGGGGAGTCAAAAATACCATCTTTTTCCATTTTCTAGGCTTTTATGAAACCCCTAGCCCATTTTAAAAATTTTATGCCACTCAAGATCACCTACAAGATTTACGTATTAAGCGATTCGTAAGGGTAGGATATTACAATTCCTCCCCCGTAAATAAATTTCGTCCCCGAAATTTACCTTGAAACAAGTATGGGTATTGATTCTTCATGTTGTCCTCTGTTTCCCACGTAGCTTCTTCTCTCGAGTGGTTTCTCCAAATTACTTTAACCATCGGTATACTACGGTTTCGGAGGAGCTTGAGTTTTCGATCGACAATCTCCACCGGTTCCTCTATATAGCTTAAATCTTCTCGTATCTCAACCTGTTCAGGTTGTAGCACATGTAAGGGGTTTGATCGGTATCTTCGGAGTACACTTACGTGAAAGACGTTGTGTACTTGAGCCAATTCTGGGGGTAAGGCTAATTTATAGGCTACTGGGCCTATCTTCTCCAAAATCTCGTAAGGCCCAATGTACCTAGGACTTAGCTTGCCCTTTTCTCGAAATCGAAAGATTCCCCTCCACGGTGACACTTTCAGAAACACTTTGTCACCCACATTAAACTCCATTTCTCGTCGATGAGCATCGGCATAGCTTTTCTGTCGATCTTGGGTAGATTTCAACCGATTTTGAATCACTTTAATTTTATCCACCGTAGCTTGCACTATTTCCGGCCCTTCAAGTTGTCTCAAGCCCTCTTCATCCCAACAAACCGGAGATCTACATTTTCGCCCATACAACGCTTCATATGGTGCCATCCCAAGGCTACTATGATATTGGTTGTTGTATGCAAATTCTATCAATGGTAGGTGTTCATCCCATGAGCCATGGAAATCCATGACACAAGCCCTTAACATTTCCTCCAGGGTGAGTATAGTACGCTCAGATTGCCCATCGGTTTGAGGATGAAAGGCAGTAGAAAAGTTCAATTGAGTACCCAAAGCATCTTGTAGGCTTCGCCAGAACCGTGAGGTAAACCTCGGATCTCGGTCAGATACTATAGATGTAGGTACCCCATGCAATCGTACGATCTCTTCCACATACCTTTTTGCCAGATGCTCCAAAGAACACCCCCATCTTATTGGAATAAAGTGAGCCGACTTGGTTAGTCGATCCACAATCACCCAAATGGCATCATTCTTCTTTTGAGTTCTAGGCAAACCGTAGACAAAATCCATAGTAACTTTTTCCCACTTCCATTCCGGAATGGGTAATGGTTGTAACTTCCCTGCAGGTGCTTGGTGTTCAGCTTTCACTCGTTGACATACTAGACATGTCAACACATACTCTGCCACTTCTTTCTTCATTCCGGGCCACCAATAATGTGATCTCAATGAGCGGTACATTTTTGTTACACCAGGATGCATCGCATAAGGAGAGGAGTGAGCTTCCTCCAAGATCTCCCTACGCAATTCATCCACATTAGGAACACATAATCTGCCATTCAGTGAAAGGACTTCATTATGAAATTCAAACTTTCCATCCTTCCCATTTTTAATCTCCTCTATTATCTTGTTAAGAAAAGGATCACGATTTTGAGCTTGTTGAATCCTTTCTCGTAAGATTGACCGTACTTGTAGAGTAGCTAATAACACCCCATCATTATCCACACTAAGATTTGCATTCAATGCCCGTAAGGCTAGCATTTCTCGAGTGGGATTTGATGCGGGTTGTGAATCCGAGTGTTTCGATTTTCGGCTTAAAGCATCAGCTACCACATTGGCTTTGCCCGGATGGTACTCAATAATACAATCATAGTCTTTCAACAATTCCACCCATCTTCTTTGCCTCAGATTCAACTCTTTTTGCTCCATCAGGTACTTCAGACTCTTGTGGTCAGTGAAGATTTGAAAAGTTTCATCATACAGGTAGTGTCTCCAATTTTTTTTTAGAGCAAAAACCACTGCGGCCAATTCCAAGTCATGGGTAGGATAGGACTTTTCATATGGCCGCAGTTGTCTTGAGGCATAAGAAATCATCTTCCCATTCTGCATTAGAACACACCCCAAGCCTTGATGCGAGGCGTCACTGTAAACCACAAAACCACCTGTCCCTGCTGGTAGTGCCAAGACAGGTGCAGTTGTGAGTTTCGTCTTTAGTTCCTCAAAACTGGCTTGGCATTCAGAGTTCCACACATAGGGATGATCTTTCCTCAACAATTTTGTCAATGGCGAGGCAATGATAGAAAATCCCTCGATGAACCTTCTGTAATAGCCTGCCATTCCCAAGAAACTTCGCAACTCAGGTACGCTCCTCGGTGGTTCCCACTTCACCACCGCTTCCACCTTCTTCGGATCAACTTCAATTCCCCTTCTGGATACAACATGTCCCAGAAATATAACTTGATCCATCCAGAAGTCACACTTACTAAATTTAGCATACAACCGCTTCTCCCTCAAGATTTGAAGGATTATCCTCAAATGCTCTCTGTGCTCTTCTTCACTTCGAGAGTACACCAAGATATCGTCTATGAAAACTATCACAAACTTATCTAGGTATTCTTGGAAGACCTTGTTCATCAACGCCATAAAAGCAGCTGGAGCATTCGTTAGTCCAAATGGCATAACAAGGAATTCATAATGTCCATACCTTGTACGGAAAGCCGTTTTAGGTATGGCTTCCTCTGCCACCTTTAATTGATGATATCCCGACCTTAGGTCAATTTTGGAGAAGACTTCCGACCCTTGCAGTTGGTCGAATAAATCATCAATACGGGGCAAGGGATATTTATTCTTCACAGTCACCTTGTTAATCCTTCGGTAATCGATGCATAACCGTAGGGTTCCATCCTTCTTCTTCACAAAAAGTACGGGAGCACCCCACGGTGACACACTTGGCCTTATGAATCCCTTATCTAGCAACTCTTGAAGTTGCTCTTTCAGCTCCTTCAACTCCACAGGCGCCATTCTATACGGTGGTATAGAAATAGGTGCGGTGCCCGGTAGCAATTCGATAGTGAATTCTACCTCCCGATCAGGAGGTAATCCTGGTAGGTCGGATGGAAACACATCCAGGAATTCATTCACTACTTCGACATCTTTTGGATTTTTCTATTCTTTAACCTCTACTACATGGGCGAGAAAAGCCACACACCCCTCTTTAATCAAGCTCAGCACCTTGGAAGCAGATATTAGGCAACTAGGTACTGCTTGCCTAACTCCACTAAAGACAACACTTCCTTGCTCGGGTAGCTCAAATACCACTTCTTTTGCGTGACAATTTACTACATCCCTATGCCGACTCAACCAATCCATTCCCAGTATCACATCAAATTCATCAATTGGAAGTAGCATCAAGTCAGCAAGCAACGTTACTCCAGATACAATCACAGGACACTCAACATAAACATGATTGATCACAATAGTATCACCAACGGGGGTTTTCACAAATATGTTACTAGGCAATAGTTCAGGTCGAGCATGCATATGTTGTGAAAATTTATGAGACACGAATGAGTGAGTAGACCCAGGATCAATTAAGGCATAAAAGGGTTTATCATGGATGAGAACCATACCGGTAACCACTTCTGGAGATGCATTCGCCTCTGTTCTTGTCATAGCAAATGCTCGTGGCTGTATGTCAGCTCTACTCGTTTGACCAACTGTATGCCCTCTGACCTCAGAACCACGTCCTCGTCCCCTGCTAAATCCACCTCCAAAATTTCCCCTTGAGAAGTTACTGGCCACTCGGGATCCCTGCATAGTAGTTTGGGACCTAACCGGCATTGTATCTCTCCAAGTTGGACAATCTTTAATGAGATGCCCAAAACCACCACATTTGAAACAAGCACCCGTCACGATCCGACACTCTCCCTGGTGCATCCTTCCACAATGTTGACATTCAGGTGGTGAAGGTGCATTCATCTGGGTTTGATAAGCAGGTGCCCTAGGGAAACTTACTCGAGGGCGCTGAGTAAAGTTCCCCTTACTAGGACCCCAACTAGAAACTCGACTTTGACCTGCTGAGGATGACCCCTTCCACTTCCGTTTCCTATCTTCGATCCCGTAACTTTGAGTACGGGGCTTGTTCTCATTTAAAATCATTTTAGCCCTTATGGCGGCGGCCTTCAGTTTGCCATAACCATCTGTATCAGACATGGATACCATTTCCCTTAACTCTTTACGGAGCCCCCTCTCAAATCGAAGGCACTTATCCTTTTCAGTTGGGACCATATCCATGGCAAATGTCATCAAACGATGAAAGGTCACCTCATATTCATCCACCGTCTGGCCTTCTTTTTGCTTCAGCATTAAGAACTCAACCTTCTTCTGATCTTGGAAGACGATTGGCACATATCGCTCCTTGAACAATCGGAGAAAATCGTTCCACGTGAGTTGAACAGTGTTATCCACAACTCCGGGTACGGTTAACCACCAATCATAAGCATCTTTTTCGAGGAGGGCTACAGCATAATCAAACTTGACGTCATCAGGACACCCAATTTGATTGAGAATGCGCTCGGTCTTTTTCAGCCAATCTACGACCACTTTGGGATCTATAGAACTCTTAAAGGCCTCAGCACCCATCTTCCACACCTCAGTATAATCCCTTTTGTAGGGAACTACCTGAGGTAGGTTATTAGCCTGAGACTCAGCTTGATTTTCGGGAGGAGGCTGATTTGAACCTGCTACTTGAGGTGGCGGGGAATGCTCCCTTTCTCTTGAACTGAACTCCACATGAAAATAACAAAGAGAGAAATCAGAACAAAATTCTTAAATACACTTCGAACTTGAAATCCATTTTAAAACCATTCAAAACTTCATTAAAAATCACTTTAATCCCGAGGGATCATATCCCAGCTCTGATACCACAAATTGTAACACCCTGCTACTTCTTGTAACATCCTACTACTTCTTCTCGTGATATTGGAACCATTATCGCATTATATACTCATTAGACCTTAGGTTTTAACTTCACATTCAGAACTGGACACAACACTAGCATACGGGTTACATCACCTGCTTAGGAAATTTAGGATAGTTTTCCCAAAGCACCCCAAAAGCATAACACCGAATGGTGCAAAGTTTGAGTTTAAAACAAAGTACAAACCCAACATAGTAGTTTAACATTCAGTGGGTACACAAACTTAAAAGCGTTAAAACATTTAGTTCGACTTCAAAGTGAAAACATGGGGAGAGTTCACTTCCGCCGCACACCTTTCAGCCATCCGGCTGACTTCACTGGTTCGACCGAGGCTTCTGTTGTTGCTTTGGCTCTGAAAGGGAAAAATATTGGCGGGGGTGAGACGCCACTCAATGAGTAATTAATAACCCAACATATACTTTAGTTGCGCACGGTGATCAGGTGCACCAAGGGCTTAAGTTCACTTAACGAATCTAGTGGCTTAAATGGCACTTTACCCAACTATGTATGCAAGGTTCATTAACCGATCTAAACGGTTCTCATATTATACACACTTACCCTTGAGTTACTCATATCAAGCCCTATTCCAGATAAAAGCATTCACTAACACATCATTTAGGCATCACCATATAATCAGCAACATATGGAGGCATGTAACAACTACACAATCTCATAATGAATCATTGCATGAACACATCACAGTAAAGCCTTCCCATAAATACGTCAATCTCATGAACAATCTATTGAACTCATCGTAGGAAACAATCACATAGCCACATCACAGAAAATCCTTGTACCAAGGCTCAAACACAAGCATAGTTAGCTAGGTTATGTACATTTTACTTTTAATGCCAAGTTATGCACTCCCCGGGATCTCGTGAACTCGTAATCTCGTGATCTCGTAATCTCATAAGCACAAAGTGCCAAATCTCATAAACTCGTGGGCACAAAGTGCCATATCTCATGAACTCGTAATCTCGTGGGCACGAAGTGCCATATCTCGTGAACTCGTAGCCAGGCCTGGCGATACTCCTTATAGGGAGTTCTCGTATAACTCTTTTCTTCTCTTTTTCTTTTTATGAGTGCATAACAAGGCGCCATTATGTTTTTATTAGGTGACCACGTAGTTCATGGGTTAGACAATACTCATGTAAAGCATCTCGTCATAAGCCCGTAGGCACACATATCATATCATATACTCGTTGCTGCTATACACAATAATCTCAATTGCACATCAATACATTCTTCACATAGCTCATTCATCAATGCACGTTGAAAATAGCAAACTCATACATATCCACATTATCAATTCTCATCATATAAACTTTTACTCATTCATAGTTCATTTATCGATCTATCACAAGTCCACGTATCCGGGCCGCTTCATGACCCGAATACCATGCCCATACTAAAATATATATTAGGTTAAGAATTACTCACTACTCGATTACTCTGCTAAACCCTTCTGCTTTGATGATTCTCCGGCATGCTCCTTTCCTTTAATAAATCATATAAACATGTTTAACACACGAACCATTAATTATGGAACAACTTAATAAAAAAGAACATATAATCTATAAACACTTAATCCTTCCAATTAATCACCCTTCCCGGAACACTTGTATCTTTTTCCTTATACTTAACTTCGTATCACTCTAGCTTTCCCCATTTTTTGTCTTAATTAGGATTAAGAATACACACATGCAACCCCACTACTAATATACATATATTAATCTTTTCCCCACCTCACATAATTATCCAAACGTTTGACTTCTCCTGTTCCATCCAAGCAATATAATTCCACTTGATAAACCAAACTTTGCTCATGTATGTATATGTATATATAAATCTTTCCACCTCCAGGATAATCATTCCCATCTCAAATACCCTTTTCTTTCCTCATGCAAACCAGACCCATTTAAACATATTTTATTTAACGTTCTAGCTTCTCACGGGTACACCACCAATACTAAGATGAAAGCTTTCCAATGAATCTAGGCAGCAATACTCTATTCGTTTCTATACCTGTAACGTTGGGGGTTTTCTCTGAAAAGATACCCAGATGCTTCCCGTAAGGGAGGAGGACGATTACCTGGTTGTGGTTGTAACCTTTCACCGATCCACCACCTGAAAGCGCTCTCCCTAACTATGAATATGAGAAGGGTTTGAGAAGGGGTTGGTTATCATCATCCCCTATGCATGGTATTTAGTCGCTCATTCACCCTCTTATCCAGAAAGAGATGAAGAGGTGTGGCGTTTATTCACTCTTCCATACAAAACCATTTTCCCATCCCTCTTCTCATTTATTCCTAGATACACGTGTTTGGCTTCAGCCTTGCATGGGAAATGGGTTCTGTGAGCTAATTAAGGGTAGGAGGATACAGAGGCAACCATGCTTCTTCATTATAGCCTACTCAATACTCAAGGTTGGGTGAATTGACTTCTCTAGTGGGGAGTCAAAAATACCATCTTTTTCCATTTTCTAGGCTTTTATGAAACCCCTAGCCCATTTTAAAAATTTTATGCCACTCAAGATCACCTACAAGATTTACGTATTAAGCGATTCGTAAGGGTGGGATATTACACTTCTTCATCGGGAACCACTACACCCCAGCCCGTTCCTCTACCTTCAAAACATGTCGCGTCGACATTTATCTTCACCGGAGTAAGATCCGGTGGTCTCCATCTTCGATATGTTTCCCCTACCACATTCTGAGGGCGAATTTGCTTCTCCAGGTAATCATTTAGCCATTCAGCTGCTCTGGGCATGATTTCCCACTCCTCTAACTTCTTCTTGTTCCAAAGTTGGCAGTTTCACTGATCCTAGATAAACCACAATGCAACGAGGAAAGCTCTTAATGTCTCCTCCGATTCAACTTCCTGGAGTTCACAGAACCATTCTTCTGAGGTAAGATTCTCTCCTTTCTCGAACAAACTCCTCAATTGACTGCTTCGCCATACCCTTCTAGCCCAGTTACACTCCCTTAGTACATGTTCTTGGGTTTCTCTTATATCACAAAATGGACAGCCTTCACTTCCTTGTTGGGTTCTATCCAAAACCTTTGCACCTGTAGGTAAGATGTTTCTTAGCCAATGCCACCCGAAAACCTCGACTTTTGGTGGGATTTTTAATCCCCACACCTTTTCCCAATTTACAGGCGAGTAGATTTCCCCTTCTTCCGCTTCAAATCTGGTTTCCCACAAGCGATATGCCGATTTAACTATGTATTCACCCGATTTTTCCTTGCTCCAAATTCGCTTATCTTCAACACCTTGTCGTGGGATTGGTATTCGTTCTATGTTGATTTGATCAGTAGGGTTAAAATGTTGTTGTAGAAGATCACTCCTCTATGTGCCTTCTTCCTGGTTGATTAATTCTGCAACTGAGGTGGAAGCTCCCAGCACTGTGCTTGGAGAAGTAACCTTCAGATTTTCACTCGAGGGAACCCACTTATCCAACCATATATCGATCCTATTCCCATTCCCAACCCTCCATCTCATTCCTCGACTAACCAGATCCTTAGCCGCCATCAACCCCCTCCAAACCCAACTAGGGTTTCGTCCCACCTCAGCCTCCAATGGTTCTCTATTTTGAAAGTATTTGGCTTTAAACACTCTCGCAACCAGAGTATTTGGGTTCTGAGCAATTCGCCAGAGCAATTACACTTGATGACTATAAATTCATAGTGTAGCTTTTAGTTTTGGAGCTCTCACTGAATCTCAATAGAAATAAAGTAATTTAACTTAGTTTTCTTAGCTATAAAAAACATCAAACACCCTCGTTCGAACTTTGTTTGGAGAGATGCAAACTGTGTAATTTTCGTTGTTTTAGAAGTCAAAGGTGCAAATAATTTAAATTCAAACATAAGTTTTCTCGCTAGGAAACTGTGTGCGTATGATAAATGTTGGTAGAACTTTCAACATGTGTATATGATAGACTTAGTCGCAAGCAAATGTTAATCAATTAGAAATTGAATGTCTAACTTAGAAGCATGTATCGTTCAAATCAAAGACTAAAACAATCATTGATTGAATATCGACTACTTAGTTGAGCGAAAAACAATTATTTAGTTATAATATCATCAATATATGTTGAGAGACCACAAATATATTTTTAAAAATGAATTACGAAAATATAAATGAGTTAAATGAAGTAAAATAGCTTAGACCACACATTGAATTCGAACTTGGAGCTAACAAACAACAACCAAAAAAACGTAAACATAATATGAGTTACCTAATGATAAATCCTGAAACGAACCAATAAATCAGGCACAAAGCTAATTTCATGTAAATCTTTTTATTTTCAACTTCAAATCCACATGAGCTAAGTGGTCATTTGGAGAAAAGGATTTCAGTCATGAATTCACTGAATCGATAAATTTTACAGAAAGTTTTATTTTGTTGATTTTTGTATTGTGGATTTTTAGCCTTAGAGATTTTAAATCTATAAAATGGACGAGCATCAAATCTCTCATAATCGTAGAAATTTTATATCTTGATCGTGAGATATTTTCTCCAATTTTCTATTTTATATTTCTTATTTAATTCTACTGAATATTTTTTTCATTAATTCTCCAACCATTCAAATATTTTTATATTAATAATAAACATGTCATTTAATATAAAATTATAAAACTTATTTTCATTAAATATTAACAATCACATTTATCAAAAATGAAATATTCTAAAATATTTTTACAACAATTCAAAGAATTAAAATCTTTAAATTACTTATATAGATTTAAAAACCTTGTTCTACAAACTACCCCTAAATACAAGAAAACAACGGTAAGCAAAAGAGAAAAGCTGTGAGATAAAACACTGATAAAAGCAAACTGTATGGTGCTTTACGTAATTCCCCAAAGTTTTGGGGTGTTTTGGGTCAATTACAATTTAAACATAAACGGAAATATGAAATTCCACTTTTGAAAATTTCTCTCGGCTGGAAGTGGAAAACTAACTTCCTTTAGGTAATTTAGCGTGCTTAACTACCATCCATATCTGACATCACCCCCGAATCTGAGACCGTCCACGTGTCAAACCTGCCGAACTGGACCGTTAATCTTCACATTGTGAACTCCGAAATTGTCTATCTCTAACTTTCCATCGTACGGCCTAGATCAATCCTACAGAAACCCTCCCGCAAGTTTTAGATCAGACGGCAACATCTCCGCCACGTGTCGGAAGGTGGCGACGCATATAGTTTTCTTTTCATGGAATTTTTTGAGAGTACATCCAACTTCTGCATATAATAATTTCCCCTTTTTCTTTTATTGTTTTATTCATTTTTATTTTAACTTTTCTTTTTGGCGATCTAAAGACTAAACCCCTTTTCCCCCTTCTCCCTGCAACCGTAAGGAAACCCTAGCTCTTCCACTCCCCTTCTCTCACGCCCAAAACAGGGCAAATTAAATTTTCAAAATCAATCAAGAAATTGACTATAAAAATCGCCACTGCGGTAGTTCGACGATTCAAAATTTCCAGATTCGGAAGGTTGGTGTGCAATCACGTGCGTGATGTTGGCGGTTTGCAGACTATAATCGAATTCTTGTTGCTGCTTGGATCCCGGTAAGTGGTGGTTCGATTCCCGTTCTAATTGTTTCATGGGTACGCAGAACGATTTCTGTTGTGTAAGTGGCCGACTGTGATCGTTTCAATTGAGTGCATATTTTTCTCCCTTTGTTTGGGCATGGGTGGTTCAGAGTTTTAGGTGGAATATTCACGGCGACTTTTTTTTTTGTTTGGTTGCATTTTCGGGTGTTTTGCAGATCTGAGAATGTGCTATGGAATTTAGGAAATTTTCGGTTGCCATCTTTGGTGATTGGATTGCGGTTTAGTGGATGGAACATAGGGCAGGAGATTGCAATGGAGAGGAAATTCCCAAAAAAACGAGATCTCTTGATCTTAAGAGTCTTTATGAAACAGAGGGTTCAAAAGAGGCCCCAGGTAAGAATTTGAAGCGGAAAGGTGGTGTGGAAGATGATGATGGCGATGTGAAAAGAAATAGCAAGAGGAAGAAGAGTAGGAAGGCAGTGTCTATTAATAGATTAAAGACTGTTACTGGCAATGGCAGCAAGAGTTTGGAAGAAGTCTACAATGGCAGCTTGACTTCAGTTTCATTCGATTCGAGGGACTCGAAGTTGTGTTTGAGTCAGAAGTCGAATGACAGTGTTGGGCTCAATGGGGTTTCACTAGCTTTGGAAGATGATGTTGTTAAAGTTCCGAGGCGGAAGCGAGGTATTGTTAGGCGACGGAAAGTTGAGAATGGCGGTGCAGTGTTAAAGCTCGAAGATAAGAACGAAAAACTGGGTGATGTTGAGGTTGGTAAGGGGACACCTGATCAGGATAATGTGAATCCTGTAGATAATGGCAAACATTTTGAATCTTCTAAGCTTAAAAGGAAGAAAAGACCAGAGGATTTCAAGGAAAATAGAACCAGTGAATCCAATTCAGTTAGAGATGTGAAGGAAGAGGCTGGTCAAGATGAACTCTCAATTGTAAAAAATGGCGAGTCTTCCGCCAAGATTACCCCTACTGGTCATTCAGCTGAAAATGCTCAGGATCACCCTTCAAATGGGTCTCTTAGGAAGCGGAGCAGAAAAAGGAAGAACAAAGTGTCAGATGTAAGAAGTCCATCAAAGGAGGCTGAGCCTTCAGGCGAAAGATCTGTCAAGATTGTTGACAAGGTTGGACGTGAGGATGAAGAAGAGAATCTAGAAGAGAATGCTGCAAGAATGCTGTCCTCACGGTTTGATCCTAGCTTTACTGGATACTTGTCGAAGAAGAAACTCTCATCGTTACCACCTACCAATAGCTTGAACCATCAATTGTCTTCTGGCAAAAAATTTGTGCCTCGAGGAGATAGTTATGCTTCTGGTTCAGATTCTGCTTCCGGCGATGGTGCGGTTAGAGTTTTGCGACCGAGAAAGCTGTTCAAAGAGAAGGGTAGTGTTAGGAAGAGACGTCATTTTTATGAAATTTTTTCTGGTGAACTGGATGCACACTGGGTATTAAATAAGAGAATCAAAGTATTTTGGCCTTTGGACGAAAGTTGGTATTATGGCCTTGTTAGTGAGTATGACAAAGAGAGAAAACTTCATCATGTCAAGTATGATGACCGTGATGAAGAGTGGATCAATCTTCAGAATGAGAGGTTTAAGCTCTTACTGTTCCCTTATGAAGCACCAGGTAGAAACCACCGAAGAAGATCTGTGCCAAGGAGGAAACGCTCCACTGTAAGTGAAAGTAAATTGAACCACAGCAAAGATAGCAAGAAAAAAATGACCGTAGAAGTTGATAGCTTGGTTGGCAATCATATGGATTCAGAGCCCATCATCTCGTGGCTGGCTCGATCATCTAGAAGAGTGAAATCTCCTCCAGTTTGTGTTCCAGAGAAGGAGAACGAGTCATGTGAACACCCTTGTTGTGGGTTATCTTTGACTAGGAATACTATGGATGGTTGTGACTGCAAGGATGGAAGGTCTCTGAATGTTGGAACTGCCAGAACTACCTCTAGTTCTACTCTTCCAGATGAACCAACCACATCTAGAAGTGTGTTCCATGCCACAGTGAGTCCTTTGTCTAACGACGACAAAAGGCTTCCAGTTGTCTACTACAGGAGGCGGTATCGTAAGAAAAAAGTATTGTTATGTCATGATTCTAAAGTCAATCGTATGAGTATTGGTGCTCCGGGTCCTGATACTTGTGGTACTTCATTATATTCCGAAGTGGCATTTGACAAGTTGCTGCCTGTGGATTCACTGTGGTCAATTGGTAGCACTGGAATTTTGAAATTGAATTTCTCAATGATACTGTCAAGAAATTTCACATTTAAGTTGAGTTGCCCAGTGCCGTCTTTCCAGAGTTGCTCTTTCAGTAAGTTGAGCATCTATTTGTGCCATGCTATATTGGTACTTAAGTTTGGGAAACTGATGACTATATTGCCAAGGGTTCAGCTGGAGATGCTTATTGTGGATAATTTAGTGGGATTGAGGTTTCTACTATTTGAAGGATGCTTGAAGCAAGCTGTGGCATTTGTTTTTGTGGTCCTGGACATATTTGGTCAACCTGATGAACCTGGGAAGTCCATCCACTTAGAGTTGCCAGTGACTTCAATAAGATTCAAGTTCTCTTGTGCTAATTTTGTTGGGAAGCAGCTTGCTTTCCTGTTCCATAAATTCTCCGAACTTGAAAATTCAAGGTGGATTCACCTGAATCGTAAAATAAACAAGTACTGCATACTTTCTCAGCAACTACCTCTATCCCAATGTACTGACAATAACATTAAGGATCTGCAAAATGGTACAAATGGGCTGCTTGCTTCTGCTTTGAATGGCACCAGAACGGTTAAGGTATGTATGTGGTCTCTTTTCCTGTTATTGGACCGGTGTCTCAATCGTGGTCTCTATTCTACCTTCTTTCAAATTTGTGTTCCTTTTCACTAAGTAATAAATTGGGAGTTACAGTTTCATTGTCATATATTGCAGAACAAGTTTGTCTAAGTTCTCATGCTGTTTTATTTGTATTGACAGGGATTCAGCAGGAGGTCCAGTCAGCGCATTAGTTTCATGAATGTTCCTGGAGAGCCTATACGGGGCAAAACTATTCACTCTTTTGACCCTGATAGGAATCAAAGGTCTCCAATGTCTCTCTCTTTTACTGCTGCACCTACCTATTTTCTAGATCTTCATCGCAGATTGCTTATCGAGCACACTCTGACGCACATCAGTTTTCAAGATCATGGCTCGGGGGGAAATCCTCAAACCAGTGGGAGGTTGCTAGTGGAGGACCAGTCTTGTGTGGTAGAGTGCCCAAGTACAACTCCTAAAAGCAATTCTCGCAACATACTCAAGGCCGTGTCAAGGGACAAGGGTTCTGATAAAGTCTCTACAGCTCATTTGAGGGACAAGGTGAATTCCTCTTTGGATCCCAAATGCGGTACCACAGTTCCTACATCCTCTGTTATTGAGAAGCCTGTGAATATGAGTAATGATGGCAGTTATGAGTTGCCACTTCAGCCTTTGGATTCTGTGCAGCACAAAATATTGTGCCGGACATCTGCTGGAGATGAAGCCAAGTTACATACGGAATTCCCTTCCCCTTCTCTTCGTAATGGAATCACAGTTGAAATTCCTTCTGATAAAATTGATAAACATGTTGATGGGGACTCACATGTGCAACAATCTTGTGGCGATTTGTCATGGAATTTGAACAGTGGTATTATTCCCAGCCCAAATCCTACTGCACGTAGAAGTACATGGCATCGAAATAGAAGCAGTTCAGCTTCGTTTGGAGGCTTTGCGCATGGATGGTCAGAAGGAAAGTCCGATTTTCTGCAGGGTAACTTTGGTAATGGACCAAAGAAGCCACGCACACAGGTGAATTATGCTATGCCTTTTGGGGGGTTTGATCTTAGCTCCAGAGGTAAAGGTCATCAGCACAAAATGCATCCACATAAGCGGTTTAGGACTTCAAATGAGAGGAGGTCTTCTGATGCTTCTAGGGTCCCCGAAAAGAACCTAGATTCTTTGTCTTGCAATGTAAACCTTTTGCTAACTGTTAGTGATAAAGGTTGGAGAGAGTCTGGGGTACAGGTTGTGCTGGAACTTTTTGATCACAGTGAGTGGAGGCTTGCTGTGAAGCTTTCTGGCAGCACAAAGTACTCATACAAGCCACATCAATTCCTGCAGCCTGGGTCAACAAACCGGTTTACACATGCTATGATGTGGAAAGGAGGAAAAGAATGGATATTGGAGTTTCCTGACAGGAGCCAGTGGGCTCTTTTCAAAGAGATGCATGAGGAGGGTTATGATCGGAATGTACGGGTTGCATTAGTAAAAAATATTCCAATTCCCGGTGTTCGATTGATAGAGGAAAATGAGGGTCATGTATCAGAAGCATCATTTCTGAGAACGTCTAAGTACTTTTGTCAGGAGGAAACAGACGTTCAGATGGCTTTGAACCCATCCAGAGTTCTTTATGAAATTGATAGTGATGATGAGCGTTGGATTTCAGAAAATGATAGTGTCCTAAAAGTTCAAAGTGGCAGTACCATGGAGATTTCTGAAGATATTTTTGAGAAAATCATGGATACGTGTGAGAAAGCTGCCTATTCTCGGCAATGTGACCGTTTAACTGCTGAAGAAGTAAATGATCTCATGGTTGGTGTAGGGTCTCTGGAAGTAATCAAGATGGTTTTTCAGTACTGGCACCAGAAGAGAAGTAGGAAGGGATTGCCACTGATCCGGCACCTTCAGGTACTGCTGAACCTTTTCTCCTTGCTTCATCCCGTAAGATATCAATGATATTGTTATTTGGTGCATCATTATACAGGTTGAACACTGTTTTGCATGTCTTCTGTTTTTTGTTTAAAGGCCATGACTAGGAAACTGTTGGGTTGGGTTTGATGTGCCTAGGGCTGCTGTTGAAATTAGGTGAATGATGTGGGCAAAAAAAAAATTAAAAAAATTAAAAAAATTAAAAAAAATTAAAAAAAAAAATTCAAAGCAATGGTTCAGCTGGGAATTAATGGTCCAGTTGCCTGTATGAGGCTAGTGGGCGTTCAGTACATCCCTGAGGTCAATCTTAGTTTCCTCAGCTGAACCTAGTGTTTTGAATTTGCTTTACATGATTCATCAGGTTCTCTCTAATGAATGAGCAACTTGTCCTTGCATCTACAGTGTATCATTTGGTTTTTGTTGTACATTTCCTTGTCTATTCCCTTAATGTTGGTCTCAGTTTATCTTCTTGTGGTTGCCTTAGTATGCTTCTTGAACAAACCCACTGCTCATTTCAAATATAAAATCACTAATACATATTCTCTGGCTTTCTATTTGATATATCATTCTTCTTGTTTGTCATGAAGTGGTCTTTTTCAGTCGAACCAAATTCTGTTGGTGAGCAGCTGCTTTCATCTGCTCTCTTCTTATGCACATGGTATAGTGTCTATGTTTATATTTTGTTGCACTACTGCTACGGTTGTTCTTAATGGAACATAAGGACCACCTCCTTTTTATAGTTTCCCTGTGATATTTTCTAAGAACATGCAACTTCGTGCAGATTCACGTTTCTTTATCTAAGACTTAGATATACAACATAAATGGCATTGTTGCCTAACATAAATGGAAAATGTTGGGTTTTGTTCAGCCACCGTGTTGGGAAAGATATCAACAAGAAGTGAGAGAGTGGGAGCAAGCGAAGGCCAAAAGTGTCCCTTTAAATGGTTGCTCTAAGAAGGTTGCTCAAAACGAGAAGCCACCAATGTTTGCATTCTGCCTGAAACCACGTGGTCTGGATTTACGCAACCGAGGGTCAAAGCATAGGTCACATAAGAAACTCTCAGTTTCTGGGCAAAGCAATACCTTCTCTGTTTATCACGACGGTTTTCATGCTTACGGTAAGAACTTCACTTGTTTATTATTCTGCTGTATATTTAGAGGTGACAAAAGGGGTTGGTTTGTGTTTTGTTGGGATCAAGGACATTCACTTGTATATTTGACGTGGTTTGGAAGGTATTTCCGTTTTTAGCTAAAGTCTAAGGGCTTCTTCTGAGTGAAGTTTTAGAATTTTTTAGTAGGAAATTGTAAAATGGTAGAGCTGGATTAGTTTGTTGATAGCACAAGTATGGGTACCATACGTAAATTAACATTTATCTGGTCTGAATTGGGACAGCAAAAGCTGGATTTAATTCATGACCGGATTGTAAAACTCTTCATGTTTAGGTACTTCATTGTATTTCTCAAAATACTTGGACACTTTCTTAATATAAGACAACTAAAATTCTAGGTACTTAGCAATTTTGCAGGAAATTTACCTACCAACCTCCTAATGAACTTGTCAATGTGTTTGGGTTGGATTGGTTTTAACTGGGTTGCATTGAAATTTTGCTACCCCTGTATCTAAGCGTTTGTCCTAATCTGTAAAAATGATTTTATGTAGCAGGTAGACGAATGAATGGCTTTGCATCTGGCGACGAGAGGGTTTTACATTTGGGACAGAATTATGACTTCATGGACGATTCTCCATTGCCACAGAGATCTCCGAGATTTTTCTCACCAAGGGAAGCAGATGCAGGCAGCTTGGGTTACTTTTACCCCAATCCTCATAGATGTCACCACTTGCAGAAGAAATTTCAGAGGAGCAAATCGAAAAAAGTGGCGGGGACTTCAACTCTTTCCCCCATGGGACGTCCTATGATCCCTTCATTCAATCAGCGCATGTTTGTGAAAAGGAACAATGGCTTACATCAATGGCCAAACCAGCGACAACCTGACCACCACCTAGATTGGTCTCTTCAGCATGATCCTTACAAGTTGGAAGGCTCGGATCTCGAAGAATCACGGACTCGTGATGCATCCGGTGCAGCTCAGCATGCTCTCAAGGTGGCTAAGTTCAAGAGAGAGAAAGCTCAGAGACTACTTTGTAGGGCTGATTTAGCTATCCACAAGGCTGTTGTTGCCTTGATGACAGCTGAAGCTATTAAGGCAGCTTCCTCAGAGGATGCGAACGATGATGACATGTGATGATATGCGAGGTTTGGAATTCTTCAAGAACTTTGGCAGCTAGAGGGTTGTCTGTAGACTCGGCATTCAGTTTGCCCCCTAGTGAAAGAGCGGGGCAATGGTGGTGGTGATGGTCTTGCACCGAGGTACACATCGCTTGGCTACTCTCTTGGTGGTTTCGTGACCCCGGTTCGATGTCGCACTGATGATCCATCCTGGAGGTGACTGGTGAGAGAGAGGTGTTGCTGGAATTTTGGGCCTGCCAAATCTTTTTTTGTACAGATTTTTTCCCACTCTTCTTCCTCTTTTTTCTTTTTGCTTTCTCCAGGGTTTTCACTGTTTCTTCTTTCTTCCCCTTCTTTAGCCTTGATGCCTGGGATAGGAGCTCTAGCCGAAATAATACACCACCCCTTAGTTTGATAACAAAGAAAGAGAGGAGGTATAAAGCAAAAGGTATGAGAAAGAGTTGCCTGTTAGATGGATTGAAATGCTGCTGCAGGTTTCAGGGAGCATTTTGCTCGTTAAAAAAGAAAAAGAAATTAATTTTTAGGGTTAGGGATATGTACCAATGATGAAGAACACGGTCTCTGGGAATAGTGCAGGAAAAGGGGGAACAAGTTGTGTAAGTAAATTATCTTTTTTTTCTTTGTTCTTTCTGATTTTTCAGAGGTGGAATTGGTGGCAAATGAAAGGAGATCATGTTGCTGATATCTGATGTCCCTAGCTTACTGTTAGTTTCATTTATGTTGTACTGCTTCTGCTTTGAATCAGTCTGTTATGCCGCAGCTGGAGCAGACTTGCTGCTTTAGTCGTTGCTGAACGCCCCCCACTTCAGCGTAATAACGCGATTCATGTTATTCTCGCCTCACTTTCGACCTTTTGATGTTGCAGCACTTGTAATGGAGTTGAGGTAGGATCTATGATGGTGAATGTGGTTTGCAGTACGAGGAATGGAACTGATGGTAAATGAGTTAAATTTCTTTGGTGAAATTTATAGAGGGTTATGAATGACAGTAACAAGTCAAGATGTAGTATCACATTGAGATGGGATGTTTTGTCAAGTTGATTGGATCATGTCCAGTAACTTAATTAGTGATAATGGTAGAGTATGATTCTGATGAGTAGCAGCAGCTTCTCCCACTCCCATGATCCCAAGACGGCTACTGTAGTCTGTAAGTGGGAAACAATATCTGAAGACCTCAGATTAGGGCTATTAAGAAGCCGAGTTATTCGTGAGCGGCTCGGTTTCGAACTTGATAAAAGCTCGTTTGGTTAAAAAAAAGCTCGGCTCGTTAATAAATGAGCCGAGCTTGAGCTCTACCTTATTAGGCTCGTGAAGCTCGTGAACTAACTCGATTAGGTGGCTCGTTTAATATAATTCATGAACTGTCTCGTTTTGAGCTTAAGAGATGTCCCAACATTGTGACTAGAGAGCCAACTTGACTACAACTTATGAGAAAATCAATATATATTTTATGAGTTGGTTTGTTAATGATGCATATAATTATTCAATTGTATATATCACCTCATATAGTGTTTAATACGTTGAGTATATGTAAACAAATACGCAGTGGCGGATCCAAAAAATTTATTAAGGGTATTCAATAAAAAAATCTAAGTAAAATAAATAATATTAAATATTAATTCACCAAGTTTATTTCATAAAGTACATCAATTTGTTTTTTTCTTTATCGTGAATCGCGACGTATTTTTGTATTTTACAAATTTTATATAATATATTAAAACAATGGCAAAACATAAAAATGTAAGCGCTTTAAGTTTTAAAGAGCGATTTTGATTATATTAGTAAATAAAAAGCGCGACACTAAAGCATTTTGGTACCCATAAGCGTAAATGCGTAAAATTTTGAATTTTAAAGTACGATTTTGACTGCATTGGTCATCGCAATAAATTGGGGAATTGTAATTGAGAATGATAATTTCTAATTTGAGTCAAAGGTGACGGTCGTGGGCGGAGAGTTTTATTCTCTTTTATAGTTGAAAGAGTTTTTATTCTCCAAAGAGGAAAAAAATTTATAAAAAAGTAAAGAGATTTGCTTCGACAAATAGGTTTAGGAATTAATTTGACTCCTCATATATTTTCTCTGTATTTGTATAACAACAATTGGCTGGTGGTGCAATGGAAATTCAAATTTGAAAGTCCAAGGGTTGTCAAGTTGGTTAGGGTTCAAATTCTATCACCAACAAATATATATTTCAACATACTAATTTTAGTCCATTTTATTACTTAAGGGCTGTCAATTGACAACCCTTAGCAAGGAATGGGTGGTTTGTCAATTGACAACCCTTAGCAAGGAATGGGTCCGCCCCTGCAAATACGTCTCATATATGTCTCATTTATGACATAATATTAGGTAATCACATGTATAGGTGTCAATCGGGCGGGTTCGGGCTGGGTTCAAACGGGTTGCGGGTTCATCGGGTTCGGGTTCAATCGGGTTGCGGGCAAATCGGGTTGTTCGGGCCAGCGCATCAAGTAACTTAACTCATTACTCATTACCAACTTACACATTTTATTACACTAATTTAAAATATTTTCTCAACTTTTTAACCAATTTATTTCTACCTCGTATATATATACTTTATTTTTTGAAAAAAACTAGTCAAAATGTTAAATCAATTTGTATGACTTGCAAACTTGTTATGTAATTAATCATAATTGGTAAAGTATTATAGCTAATAGTAATGGTGATATCAATATTTGCAACCAAAAGACAACATTAATTGTTTATTTGATATTTTAGTATTAATTCAGTAGTAATTGGATTAAAGTATCTCGTTTAGTATAACCATGCAAATCTAGTATTTGGTGTGTGGTATTTGGCAAAAGCATAGTGATAAAAGGAGTTATTTCGAAATAACTCATTGCCCAAATAACTTCAGTAAACTGTTGCAAAACGAGTTATTTGTAAAATTGTTCGAATTATCCTAAAAATTGAACCATTAAAGATTAGCTATCAAATTTAGTAAAATTATTGTTACTTCAATCATAACTTACTCAATAGCATATATCCTATACACTTAGCCTTACCCTCAATCAACAATATTAAGTTAGTATATGTTGTTGATTGTATACCCTAAACCATCAATACATTATACACTAACCACATAACCTATACCCTAGCTATACCCTAACCATATGTCTTTGAGTTGTGATTTTGCTAGTATAGTTAATTTAAAAGTGAAATTCATACTTTGATTTTCAAAACATAGATAAAAAGTGACATTTGCTAATTGTTATACCCTAACCATATATCTTATACTTTACACCACATACCTTGTACCCTAACCACGTACCATAAACATAAATTAAAAAGGGATCTCCTGCCGTTAAAGACTTCAAATGACTTCAAGTGAACATATGTTAATAAAAAACTTAGAACCTTCAAAACCATCAATATCTTTTACCCTAAACCATATGTACCTTATACCCTAACCATATACTTTATATCCTAAACAACGAACCGCCAAAGATTACTTATCAAGTTTAGTATAAATTGTTGTAACTAATGGTTAATTTATTTATTAGCCCATAAACAATTACATACATATATATATTAGCCTTCAAATCATATAAGAATAATTTTAACTACTCATGCCCTCCATATAAAAGTTAAAGATTCATATGTCAAAAGCTAAAATTATGAAAAACCAAAAAATTGAAAACACCAAATTTGTTTCCTTCTTTCTTTTCACAAAAATACTAAAATTTCCCTCCTTCTTTCTACTTCTATACATTAGAAAACTCAATTTTCCCTCCTCTTTCTCTTCCATAAAATTGAAAGAACCAAATTACCCTCTTCTTTCCTTCTACAAAAAGTTGAAAACTCAAAAGTTTCCCTCCTTATTTCTCTTTCATAATCAAAAGAATCAAATTTTCCCACTTCTTTCTCTTCCCACAAATCAAAACCACAAAAATTTCCACTTGTTTCTTTTCTAAAAAATTCAAAGAACCAAATTTCCCTCTTCTTTCTCTTCCCAAAAACTTGAATACACCAAAATTTCCCTCTTCATTTAAAAACATCAAATTACCAAATACATTACTTTACTTTATTTATATTTAATTGATAATTTTATTGAATAGTTAAATTAACCAAAATTTTAATTTATATATTATATTAATATTGTCATGATCTCAAGTGACCTTCATGTTTCAATTTTTGTAATTTTCTTAAAATACGTAATATCAAGTGAGTTTCATATTTTTTAAATTTCCTATACGAAATGAAAAAATAATTTTACTTAAGTTTAGAATGAAAAACTTTATTTTGAAAAACTATGTATTGTATATTTTTATAATTATTCAAGTGGATTAGATGAAATTCGGGTTGAGTCGGTCGGGTTACGGGTTAGTCAGGTTCGGGTCAATCGGGTTCGGGTTAATCGGGTTGCGGGTCAGTCGGGTTGCGGGTCAATCGGATTCGGGTTAATCGGGTTGCGGGTCAGTCGGGTTGCGGGTTAGTTGGGTTGCGGGTCAATCAGGTTGCGGGTCAGGCGAGTTACGGGTTGTTGACTTTTAGTCAATTCGGGTTGCGGGTCTGGTTGATCGGGCGGGTTAATCGGGTCGGGCTATGTTTTGACACCTATAATCACATGTATCACATATGGCATATAAATATTAGGGTATGTCTATTATAAATTATCTTAGAGTTGAGCTCCAACCGAACTTTCGATATTAATGATGTGCCAAGATTTAATAAACGAACTGGCTCGTGTTCGACTCGGCTCGACTCGTTTATAAACGAGCTGAACATGAACAAGGCAAAATTCGGCTTGCCTCATTAACAGCCCTACCTCAGATAAGGCCCGTTCTATATAGAAGTTCTCAAACTTTCAAATGTAAGAAGAAATAACCCGGATACTATTTGAGCTTTCGATTTGGGGATGAATACCACTGAAAAATAGATAGGTATCAAATTGATTTTATTAGACAGAACTAAGCAAATTCCTATATCAAAGTGTTCAAAACTAGAGTGTAATATGTGAAACACCCTAGTCCCGCCGGACACTACTTTTACCAAAATACTCTTGATAAAGCGTGAATCAAAATTTGAACAAAAAAAAAAAACTTGGAAAGAAAAAAAAAAATAACGGAAACCTTTCATAAATAAATTTAATCATATTAAAATTTAAACTGACATCTCTTAAAACAAAGCTCTAACACTTGGGCTAACCTCAAACATAAAACTCTTAATCTGAATCTCCAGTAACTACTCATAATCGTAAAGCAATAACTAAAACTCTACTTTGTTGTTTGCTCGGATTCGATCTCTGGCACCTTCAGTGACACTTGTACTATCCTCCTCTAGCTGGCTTGCCTCAGCGGCTCTCTCGATCTCGCTGCTCTCTAACTGCTCCCCTAGCTAGCTGCTATCGATCTGGTTCTCGTTCATTCCTTTGCTAAGGCCTAGTGAGTGAGACGGGGTCAGTCTACGCCCTTACGTTTAAAATTTCTTATACTTGAGTACTTTGCTTAAACACTTGACTTTAAATGGTGGAAGTTGTTTATACTTCCAATCTTAAAATCTTAACTCTTAAAATTGTATGGGAGTTACTGTTACTCTCCATTCTTAAAACTCAAATCTCGAATTAAATACTTGACTGACACGGGGATCCCTCACTAGCTAGTCCGGTTGCCAACTCTTAAAGCTCAAATCTAGACTTAAATACTTGATTGACACGGGGATCCCTCACACGCGAGTTCTACGGTACCTTAGGTAAAATCCAGGGTACCGTATACCTTGAGTATGAAAACACTATCTAGACCTTAAATTGACCGATCTTTCGGACATGATACTATACTCTGACCCTTAAAGATAAAAATCTAGGTCTTAATTCTCCCAATCTTATACTCCAATATCAATTTAATTAGAAATAATAATCGACGGTTATGATTCGTTCAAATATAGGCACAAAAGGGAATGAACCATCTTAGGGTTTATAGATTATGATTTAGATAATTAGGACATAGGGTTCACTCATTAAGGGTTAGGGTATAGTATCAGACCAAAAAATCCAGCTAATTCAAGGTCTAGATACCGTTTCCATACTCAAGTATGCGGGACCATGATAGAGAGTTGCTGCTCTCTACACCCGAGGTCGGGCCTAATGGAAAAGGAGGAGAGTGGCGGTTCGCTCGTTCGAGATAGAGAGGAAGAGGAATCAACGAGTCGGTGGCGGTGGACTTGGCTTTTTTTTACGTTTTTCTCTTAATCCCTAACTCCTAATAATTAATTCCACGAACAGCCTTGTACGAATAACGGAGCCCACTACTATAAAACTCCCACTTAATAGCTTAACGCCTAACGGGACAGTATAATGAACCAAATTACTTGGCTTAATATGGCTCTATAATAGCTCTCAATTAAATGGCTTACTCTTGTGGTGGTAATAATTTAATTGATCCTGTTAATTGGTTTTGGTTTGAGGTCTTGTATCCAACTAATGAATCAAACCATATATTAATTTCAAGTTGAACCTTAATCCAAAAATCGGGATGTTACATTCCCTCCACCCATATAAAAATTTCGTCCCTGAAATTTGCTCGGACGAATTATCCTTTTTATTCGCAACTTGGCCTCGTAGTGTGATTCCGATTCTCTTGATTTGTTGGTTCAACTCATTCAGTAGTCGTTGTTCAACTTAAATCCAACTCGAGGTATCACAATCTGGCTATTTTGAATGGAGAAAGAAGGTGAAGGAACATGAGATAGAGCAATATGTCCCAATTGACTGAAAGAGACTGTGGCATCTGCAATAGCCTCCTAAGGTGAGAATCTTTGCATGGAGAATTGGGGGAGCAACCTATTACTAATAGGAGCCAATCTGGGAAGACGGATAAAGAAGCAAACAAAGACTGTCGTTTTGTGGCTTGAGGGAGATCCAAAAACACATAACTAGGGACTAAGATTGGGTTGGGCAAGCAGAGTTTGGCGACCAACTTTTAAAGGAAGACTTCCATATGGGGGAAAACCTAAATTGCGAGATGTGGCTATGTGATTTCCTAACTCTATCGAGGACGAACTCTACTCGTTCCTAATCGTCTTTTGGTACTTATGGAAAGAAAGAAAGAAACATTCATTTATACAAAAACACAAAGCTTGAGGCTGAAATTGTGGAAAGAACTCATAACTACCTGGTGGAATATGTGTAGCAGCAAGCTAAAGATCTCATACCAGAGCGCATCCCCCGTGAGTATCGTTAGGAAGCCCCTAAATCGAATTGGTTCAAATTGAATGTCGATGCAAGTATTATACATGGAGGAGGATAAGATTTTGGTGATAAGGGACGGAGAAGGAAAATGCTTAATGACGGCGATCCACATAGAAAGGGTTAGATGGCAATCAGAAATGGTGGAAGCTCAGACTTTTCTTTGGGATTGAAGCTAGCACGACATTATCCATTCTTCCCTCTACTAATGGAAACTGATTGCCAGAGTCTCGTTAAAAAATTGTCGGAAGATGATGTTTCTGCTCGGGAGATTGGGACGATTTGTGAAGAGATTTGGCACAAAGTGAAGGAGAAATGTAATGACGGTTTTGGGGAAGGGGTGGTTGTAACATCCCCGAACCTTTTTCGACCAAAATATTGTTCGCTTTTGATATAGACCCTCATAAATTTACCTTGGGGGTGCATATCAATGTGACTTCTCATAGGTCATCCATCTTTACAATGCACTATAGTGAGCACGCTTCACTTTAGAGTTCTTACAATAACTCTTCCATTTCACCCCAAAATCCATGAGGGTCTAGATTGAAAGCGAACAATATCTTGTAGAAAAAAGGTTTGAGATAGTACAGGTGGTATCAGAGTCTCTTCTCGTCCCTTTTGAACGATGGTGGAGGATACCTCAATAAGGACGTTAAGTCCCAAAAGGAGGGGGAAGGTGTATGTAACACCTTAGGAGAATCCTGCATCAACAAAGCATGAGATAGATCCATGGTTCATAAGTAAGAAACCGACCTTAGACAAAAACACATTTTGGGGTGAAATGGAAAGAACTTTGAAATATAAATGTGGTCACGATAGAGCATTGCAAGAATGAACGACCTTATGAGAAGTCACATTGATATGCACTTCAAGACAAAATCCATGAGGGTCTAGCCCCAAAACAAACAATATCTTATTGGAAAAATGTTCGGGATGATGCAAAGGTAATGAGGTAGCACATTAGATGACACGTGTTTAATATAGGTAGGATGAGACTGAGGTCTAGTTCGACCAGCCACCCATATTCCTTGTACCCAACTCATTGCTAACTGTTATGTTCCAAGGTTTAAATAAAGCGTACATGCATGGATTCATAAATAAATAAAAAGGAAAAGAGAGAATTAGAGTAGTTTGTACTTTTTAATTTACAGATTTCAACTTCTATTGTGATTTAAACTTCCTCTCCTTAAAAAGGAAACAACTTGAAAACCAAAAAAATGAGCAACCCCTAACTAATCATTGCTACACGCAAAATTTTCTCTCCACAAAATTTGCCCTCTCTCTTACAGTATCTTGGATTTCCATCTCCCGTTTCCACCCATGGCGGTCTCTAAACCCTTGTTTCCTTTCAAGTCTTGTCAATTCCTCCTTTCACCCCCTACTCCATCTCCCCCCTCATTCCCATTTTGGGGGGGTTTTCCTGCATAATTTGTTTCCTATCTTTCGGAGTCAGGTATTGTTTCTTCAATTCTCTGGACAACAAACGTTAATGGGGTTTTCGTGTTGTGTTCAATCAACCCCAAAAGCTTTATATTTTCACCTTTTTCTTGTGCTCCCAAACAGATAGGCGTAGGCTTGGCCTGCTTATTCCGATGGTGAAGAAAGAGAAGGAAGAGGACAAAATTGAGAAGACCATTCGTGGTCTTCTCAAGCTTCCCGAGAATCGAAGATGCATCAATTGCAGCAGCCTGGTAGGTTCATTAAAAAATCTATTTCTTTGCTGAAACCCAGTTGTTGAATAAAATTTGGTTTTGCATTAGGGTAAGGAAGTTGGTTGTGGATGATAATCCATCTATTTTGGGTACTCAGCTACAAACTCGTGTTAGTGGGACGAATTTATTCTTAACATGGTATCATGCCTTTGATAATCGAGAGATTATGCTTTCAATTGGTAATAATATCTATGTTAATAGTTAATGTGTCAGGGGCGATTATTAGTTTTGGTACCAGGAAGCTAGATAGATTAAGAGTTGGGGTATGAGCTATTGAAAATCGCATCATTGTATTGATTATGTGTTTGAGGGTTCCTATTACAGTGCTTTAATTGGATTGGCATTGATATCCATATATTCTAGAGGAGTGGTTTAATACATTATATTTCTTGTTCAACAAGAGGGTACCCTACTGCTAATTTCCTATAGCTATTTGTACTATTTATTGCATGTGTAATAGCCATCCACCAACTCATCCAATCTTGTTACTTTGTACGACTATGCTTTTAACCTTATACTCTTCTTACAGGGGCCACAATATGTATGCACAACCTTCTTGACATTCGTTTGCACGAATTGCAGTGGCGTGCAGTAAGTCTTAGATTTAGTGTTATTTGTTCTATGGATTTTTTTTTTTTTTTTGCACAGAAATTAAATTTTCCAGTTTCTAGAATTTAAGAGAACCGCGGCCAAAGCTTATTTATTATTACATTCTGTCCATTTCAGTCGGGAATTCACGCATCGTGTCAAATCAGTTTCGATGGCAAAATTTTCGTATGAAGAAGTCAGTGCTCTTCAGGCTGGGGGGAATGAGGTCTGCTAGCTCTGTATTAACCGACTTTTGCTTCATTCTCCAGAACATCATTGTCATAATCTAACTTAAAGGCTCTTTTTTTTCCTAGAGGGCAAGGGAAATCTATTTCAAAGATTGGAATGAACATCGTAACTCTTATCCCGATGGCAGGTAGATATGCCTACTTTGTATTGAATAATGTGAAATTTTACCAGGACTGTTATTATCTAATATATGTACTTCATTTTCCAGCAACCTTCACAAACTCCGGGATTTCATCAAGCATGTTTATGTTGAAAGAAAATACACCGGGGAAAGAAGTAACGAGAAGCTTAGAAAGCTGAGACTGGTAAATCTGCAAGATAGTACTTAAATTTGAACTATATCTTTCTTCTTGGTATTTCTTGTTCATCAAGCAACATAATGGATATCCCTTTTTTAATCCTTCCCATTCCGACATAGGCCGATAATGATGAGCGTTATGATGGAAGGAAAGGTGGTGGTATTTATTATGGGAGAAGTCCAAGTTACGCAATGGCTAGGAGCTCAGCTCTTGGGATGACAAGAAGTCCAAGTTATGAGGTAACCAGAAGTCCGGGCTATGAGGTAACCAGAAGTCCAAGTTTTGATAACAGGAGAAATGGTCGTGATAGATATGGTCCTAGTAGATGGAGTTCTGAAAGAAGCTTCAAATATTATTACGACGAAATGAGAAGTCCTAGCTATACCCCAGAAAGTTCGAGATATGGAGGAGGCTTGAAGAAATCCCCTGTTCGCTTTGAGGTTGTTGATGATAGGTTTCGAGATAATGAAAGTAGAAGTGGCCAGTCATCAAATAGTAGCAGGTTGTCATATAAAGAGTCTAGGTCTGAATGTCGAAGCAGGTCACCTGACTCCGAGAAAACCATTGATGGGTCTAAGTCTGCAGTGGTACCTCCTACTCAAACTGTCCCGCCGGTAAATGTTGGGAAGCAGTCTAGGATAAGTGAAGGGAAGGAAGCTGACCAGGCGAGCAAACTCAACTCCTTATTGATGCAAAAAGCTTTTATCAGTGTTAAGGAAATTGATTTTCCGCATTTATGTCACCTTGTTTGAGAGCTAACCATACTTTGTGGGAGACACACATATCTGGAGCTTAACCCATAATTTTGTAACATTTCAGATTGCCACACCTTCTGCAATCAAGGCTCCAACCGACAATACTATTGCAGAAGCCAAAAGTCAGACTTTAGAAAGCCTGATTGACCTCGATAATGATTCCATGTCCCCCAAGGTTGTGGTAGTGGCACCACCACCTCAAGCCACAGAAGCACAACCTTCTGTTAACAGCTCAATTGAATCCTTTGTGAAGAAAGAACCATTAGCACCAAAGCCGAACAGTGTTGAATTTTTACTCTTTGAGTTATCAACTCCCTCAGTTACACCATCTGCTGCTAATGTTTCTGAAAGGGATACCACTCCTCCATTGACGATATCAGAAGGCAGTATTGCTGCACTTGGAGCCTCTTCAGATGGAAGTACCTCCATGGGGGTGTCAGCTAAATGTGATCATCTTGGATCTTCAACTATTGAGTCTGCCCAAAACTTGCTTGCAGATAATGTTTCAACGGCTGGGTCTTCGGATAAAATGTCTTTGGTACCCTATGATGTACCTAAAAGAGCTTCACTTGCAGAACCCTATAGGCAGTCGCTCTCATTGTTTGACGCCTTCGGTGGCTCTTTATTTCCGTCAGCTGCTAATTTGCCTGTGCAACCTTCCAGTGGAGGTGGCGCATCAGAGGCTACACCTGATTTTTTTCAGGAATCCTCTTTTACAGCTAACAACGGTGACAAGGTTAAGTATCAAGAAAAAGCTGATAACATACCTTCTTTAACTGTTGGTTCAACTGAATCAGGCCAGACAACTTCTGCATTTGTTGCACAGACAAACAACCAGGTTAGATATGAGTTCTTTTCTTCTCAGAGAGAAATCTATAGTTAAGTTGATAAGAAACCTAGGGTAATGTATGAAAAACTTATTTTTTGTGTAGTTTGTGCTTATTATTTATCTCCACAGCCATGTACTTCCTTAGAATCATGTACTGTGCAAGGACCTTCAGGTGCTTCAGTTGAACACGCTTCACAAAATATTTCTCAATCAGCTCAAGAATCTAACTCTGGGGTTCAAAAACCATCTACCACTTCCTCACAACAAATCTCGCAACCAGCTGAAGAGTCTAACTCTGGGGTTCAAAAACCATCTACCATTGCTTCAGAAACAAAGGCTAGTGGGAGGCAGGAACTTCCCGTGGTGAATTGCAATGCCCATAGTCTTATATTTTCATAAACTGTCTAATAAAATTGGTCAAATTGTTAAATCTATTATTTTTTTTAATAGGACCTGTTTGCATCAAGCTTCATGCCAACAACAGGACCTTCACCAAGTTGGAAATATGGTAGTAGTCCATACGACATGGGCTTTGGGACACAGTATTACCACAATCCAATGGTGACCTCTTGCAACAACAAAAATTATGTCTCGCTAATCCAACCTTCTGATCTTGATTTTCTTTGCGATCAATTTTCTTACGCAGCAAGTCATGGCATACCCCAACCCCGTGAAGTCAACAAACCCATTTGATGACAACTCTCAGAGACAGGCACACCCGGTATGGGAATAATAAAACTTTCATGCAGAGTTTTTTCTGAGGTTATTTTCCCCAAAAAATTGAGGAGTGTAGAAGCGCTCAATTGATGACTTGTTATATTTATCATTATAGTATCCTGCCATGGGGAACTTTGGAGGTGCACCACCTCCTAATGTGCAACATCGTCCCATCTTGTTTCCTAGTTCCAGCACGGGTCACATTTCTTCGGCTATGATCCCAGATTCTTCACGAATCCCTTCACAATCTTTCCCATTTGAGTCTACGATATCTTCTGGTACATCCACCAATCTTCATATACACTTTTTTCTGTACAAAATCATATGCCTGACTAACTAACTTCATTCTTTTTCTCTCAATATTTCAGGTCCATACGTGGAGCACCAGGTGCTCATGAACTTGTCACCTTTCAGGTTCAAATTTTGATCCTTAACCCACCATGGATACTTCGACGGAAAGAAATTGTACATAGGAAGAAAATTAAGATGAGAAATTTGTGTCATGTGTGTACCATTTGTAGGCAACAAGGAGGTAGCTTTGGCATTGATGAGGACGCTTTTTCTTCATTGAATATGGTCCAACAGCAACGACCTGATGGAGAAAACTCGTTTCATGTCCGCCAGAACTCTCTCCCTTCAAGGGGAGGAAACCCATTTGGATAGATGAGGCTACACTCGTTTCAAATGACGTAATAGGCGAAGAGTACCCAACTTTGTTGTTTGATATGCATCTCATGGCCTATCGCGATTCCAACTCAAGGTAACATCTTCGAATTCGATCATTACCACCTAGTGCTTTGGCTTCTGCTGTTTTGTTAGCTTAATTACATATCTTTATATTTTTTTGTTCTCAGGTATCATGTGATTTGATTGAGGAGCAAGCAACCAGTGCTGCCAACATTCCTTGACTAGTCAGGTGGCATGTGGCACAAGCAAGGCAGGAGTCGAGCAAGGTTCTTCTCTTTGTAAACTTCAATATTATGTGTATTGTGCAATCCTATGTAATGTTTCACATTCTATTATATAGTTAAACAAAAAGGCAAGTGTTCAAAAGATCAAATTAGGTAAATATCAACGCAATTCAGAGGCAACTTATTATTTATTTTTAGCCATCACCTTAACAACAATCGTCTCTTAATACCACAAACCAACTTGACCACCACCATCACCCTCTTGTAAGGCTTCAAAAAAAAGCACAATAAACCCACACAAAAAACCTAGAGCCGCGCTCAATCTCACTAGCGAGAAAGCGCTGCATACGAGCATAACAAAAGCATCCTCCTTTGAGTTCACATCTCTCAAAGCCATGACGAGCTCAATCCCAGCGAACAACAACAGAAACTCCAAAAATCCCAACAGGAAACTCTCTCAGTATCACAACAAGTGAACTCCCCAACCCTACCCCTAACCCAACTTCACTACCCCATAAAATTACAACACAAGTGCCACTCCTCCCTCCAAACTTGTATTGCCCAGCTAACCCTCCAGCTCCATGGCAACAATGTATTGCCTTGAACCAGCACCCCACCAAGTTCATCACCCCATCAGTCACCAATACAAAAGTTGCAGGCAATCTCTTCCCCGCAGGGAAGAGATCGTTCGACAGCTTGCAAACCCCGATCGCGGAGTTCAACACCGAAAATGGCAGCTAAGGTATATCATCCCCTTCAAGAACCCAGTCTTCCACGCTTGTTTCGAGATCTTCACCACCTCAATTCGAGATGGCCCGAATTGTATGTCGTATATCATCTTAGGCTTCCTTATGAATGGCAACACTACTCCCGAACTAAACATCAAAAATGCCGATGGAAGTGAAGTTATCACCTTCATTATAGCTCTCTCCCTCTAGTTACCACCATCACCATTCTCCACCTCCATTATAACCTCGCCTGCCTCTTCCCCTACCTCTTCTTCTCGTCGTCACCACTAAGGGTCACTATAAAGCAAGCACAAAAAATTGACAGGATCAAGCCATCAAGTCAAGGCCAACCAACCCCTTGTCCCTCGCAATGGAATTTGTTTGAGATTGTAAAACAGAAGTGATGGTGCCCTTGCTATCGCACTCAAGGCAGCAACCACCAACCGTTTCCCAGATGGACTAAAGCTAGGAAAGGATGGACAAATCACCACCAACGTGGCCACAAGGAAAGTGTGAGAATTTCACTACCTACCATTTACCCTCTTTGACATGAATTAACAAGGGTAAAATAAATTCCCCTTCTTCCACGTGGTCCTCCCATGGGTTGATGGGAAGAGGGAAATTGGTTCCTTTCTCCTTTTCATTCACGTGGTCCCCCATGGATTGATTGGGACTAACAGAGCTGCCCATTTAATGGCATAAAGGGCACTTTCATCGGCAGATTGATTAGCATTGACTGCCGTTACTTTTACCTGTTGTAAACATATCTGTCTATTATTTCATCTGACTATGATATATAAAAAATAATAAGGCCCCCAATCTCTTCCTCTCACACGTGGATCATGGGAAAGATAAAGTGCAAAGCTCTTACATAGTAAAATTTACACCATCAAACAAATGAAAGAATATGTTTTAATTCTATTTACTTTGGTGGAAGAAGGCATAACTGTTTTCTTTAATGAACTGCTATTTGCTGCCCGACAAAGTACTATTTGCCACCCATTGTTTAGAACAAAATAACAACTTTTCCTTTACCTATTGAACTGAAGGTTGTCGGAATTGGAAAAAATAGATGCGCCGGGAATCTCTTCTTCCAAGCTGAGTGTCTTCCTCCAATCTGCCACCAACCACCCCACGGCCCACAACGGCAATCAAGCCACCACTGCCATTGCTTCCTCCCCTCTGAACTAGCTCAATAGCCATGTTTGTTTGTCATTGACCTCCTGAAATCAACGTCGGTTTGGCCTAGAAATGCGTTCCAACTCCGGCAATCGAAAGGTGAGGCTCGATCCGAAGCCAATGATTGTACGGTGAGGCAGGTTTTGAAGGATATTGGATAGTGAGGCAGGGTCCAACAAATTGCGGAAGGAGAGATTAGGGACTGGTGTCCCAGGACTCCACTTGAAAGACTCGGCAGCAAAAAAATCCATTATACATATGGGTTTTAATGTGAGCTTAATATTCAGGACCCCATTACATTTTTATCTTTTTATCTATTCTACAATCTAGAACTCCATCATCTCGATTCACTTAGGCATCTCCCACAGAAGGACAAAAAGGCTACTCCAGATAAATTATTATTCCTAAATTTAAAGATGAAATCATTATTATAATGTTGATTTCATAAACTCAATCCAAGAGTTGATGACATTCTACTGTAACTCTCTCCATGTATTTGTATCCTCTCAAAAAGGGTGAACTCATAGACTCAACCTTCTTTGGCATTCCAAAGTGTGCAACGATGCTCGTCATTCCATTCTCAACTTGTTTATGTGGTTTCATTTTAAAACCAACAAATAAGGTATTGATGTTTCTAAAATCAATGATCAATAAGTTTTTCTGGAAGGTTTAGGGCAAGGCTAACAAGTTGCAAATACAACTAGTATATATTATGAGTTGTTTATATAGTAATTAATCAACTTTTTTTTTTTGCCTTCAACTAGTTTTATTTATCACGAATATGCAAAAAGACAAGAGGTTCAAAGGCTTGAACGGAACTAATAAGTTGGCTATACCGATGATTGAAAGAGATATGCATAATTATTAGGGTAAATACAATTTAATAGCCAAACCTTTCATTTTGAACAAAATAATAGCCAAACCTTTTCAAAAACAATTTAATAGCCAAACCATTAACTTTCCGGCCGGTCAACTGTTAGTTGACTCTGACGTGGCATATATGTGGCAATTATGTGTACATGTAAGATAATTAATAATTTTACAATTTAGGATGATTTTTTTATTCACCTAATAACAATTCTTATTCTTTTCCTCACCTTCTTCCATCGCTCAATTCCCCTCCTCATACCTTCTTTGACATCCTTCGTCTTCCGCCACCAACACCTCCATTCCTCAACCTCCAATCGTAGCTCCAAATTTGATAATCGTAGCTCTAGAAATATTTCAATTGTCGGGCAGTAGCGGCATCAAAGAGTGATTTTGTTGATTCTCTAAACCCAGAAAATTCCAGATTTACCCACCCTTCCGACTCATCTCCAGATCTCCAACAGTACCTACAATCATCTACGCCAAGACCGCCTCCTCTCTCCTTCACTATCCCTACTCGTAGTAACGGATGCTCACCCCTCGTCCCTTGTTTCTTGTCATAAACCAGTTGGTCCCAATAAGTCGAGTTGTTGGGAGAAGGTTATACTGGATCTTATACATGCCTGTGTATGGTACTTAACCACTTCCTTACACGCCCCCTCAAACAAAAGCCGACTCATGGGCTTGAAGTTTGCACAGACCCGCCATACCATGTGCTTGAAAGACAACGGTTAATATTGAGGGTCGTGAGGACTTGAACACGTGACCTCAAGGACAAACCAGCTCTGCTACCATGTCATAAACCAGTTGGTCCCAATAACTCAAGTTGTTGGGAGAAGGTTATGTTGGATCTTATACAGGCCCATGTATGGTACTTAACCACTTCCTTACATTTCTAACCAGAACAGCTACTTCTCTTCTCCCTCTCGTCGCCACCCATCCCTCTCCTTCTCTTTCGTTGTTCCCCTGCAAAAACATAGATCTAATTCCAAAGATTCAAACGATGCTTTAATCATTGCCAAGGCTACGAAATCATGATGATTCGTCTGTCGGCCGCCTCTGTACTAGGTTGATCGGATTTTTTGATGAGGAGGAGAAGAAGGAGATGGCACCACGAGAGGAGGCAAGCAACTGTGGTGAAAAAAAGGAAGATGAGGGAAAGAAGTGACGAGTCGGAGAGAAGAGATCGATTTGGTGGAGGTTGGAATTGGAGAGTTGAGGGAGCAGAGAGGCGGAGATGCTTTTGTTTCTAAGGTTAAGATTTTTGTTTTTGTGTTTCATTTAGTTATCTGTACCCTTAGTAATAAATAATTTGATAATTGAATAATATGATAAAGAAATATTTATATAGGCTGACGTGTACACATATTTGCCACGTTAGAGTCAACTAACGATTGACCGGACGGAAAATTAAAGATTTGGCTATTAAATTGTTTTTGAAAAGGTTTGACTATTATTTTGTTTAAATGAAATATTTGACTATTAAATTGTATTTATCCTAATTATTATACATTATTTTATTTGCTTATTAAACTTACACTTATTTTGTTTATTCCTACTAAACTCACTGAAAGGTCATTATCACCTAGGAGTTACATAAAAAAACAAACTTCCAATTTGAATAAATGAAGAATAGCATAATAATTTCTTTGTAGGATATAGAGAAAATAATGTTAAATATTATGTTAAATTTTGATTTATGATAATTACTATTTATGTATGCATTGAATATGGAAGTTCTAATCTAATCATGTAAAGTTTGTTTTCCTATTTTTTGGTGAAAACAACGAAAGTAATAAAATAAACTTATTTAGTTGAAGTAATTAAGAGATTACCAAATCACATTAAATGTAGAGTAAGTGTGTGATTTAATGCTCTTTTAGTAATTCCTTCGTCCTCCCCCATTACCATGGCTAATTATATTTCCATAATTAATAACAGAAAATATTTTTTTTAATTAGGACACATGACATTTATATTTATTCCACAAATTTCCTTGATTACCCACGCCTAATTAACAACAGAAACACTTAATTACATAAAAAAAGAAAAGCAAGTATTTGTGAAGGTCAAATCCTAGTATCGTTAAACCATAATCCAATTAAACCCTAATTTAACATAATTATATATAGTTAATGACTACTATATAATTTACTGATTTTATCACTACCAACCTCTTTCCTAATTAAATGATAATATTAATATTTAGGGTGCGCTTATGGTGACATGCATGTCACGGTGACTTGCACTTTTCGGTCAACCTCATTTCGGATTAGGTCGACCTCATTTCGGATTAGGTCGACCTATTCGGTTGTTTCAGTGTAAAAACAGTTTCATGGTGCCTACTTTGGAGATTCATATCTTACAATTGGCTCGATGGAAATTGGAGATTAATATCTTGTTTTGAAGTTGGAGTGTCCCTCTACACATTGAAGTGTTTGGGAGCTCGATAGGAAGTCCAGAAGGTCTTGGTTCCTCACCCGGGAGAAGGAGAGTGCCAGAATGGACCCCAGGTTGAGGTCATCCGCAGCCTCTCTCATGGGGATGAGAGCATACATGTGGCGCTTCGTCACCTGCCCGGATGCCTCCTGGCTGGGAATGACAGAGTGAGCTAGGAACGCCTGCAGGTAACGCCACGGAGCCTGCAGCAGGGTGGCTCTGGTCCGGCTGTGAGCGTAGGGGACGGCAGCGTGCTGGTGCAAGCAAATTCTCTCGTAGAACCCCTGGTAGTCGGCTTGCGGAAAGGTCGGCTCGACCTCGTACATGCGAGTGGAGTCCAGGCCCAGGGCGGTGTTGAACTCGTGGTAGCTCAGACTGTGGTGGTGACCCCCAAGTCGGAAACTAACCGCACCCGCAAGGGCGGTGAGCTTCTTCCTGGTGTGTGGGAAAGTGTTTTAGAACTCTAGGGTGAGCTCCTCGTAGATGTCGTCCTGGAGCCCCCAGCAGGCGGCGCCATTGAGGGTGCGGGATGGCCGCCTCGATAGCGTCACAACACAGGAACTGGTCGAAGTAGGCGAAATCTAGAGCGTAGTGGCTCCCAATCTCGGCCGCCCGCATCTTGGCGAACGCAGCACCGTAAGCCTCGGCATACTGGAAGCCGTGTATAAAGTCATGATCCAGATTAACCATTTTCCTGCAAAATAGACAATCACAACCTCGAAGCCCCTTAGTAACCAAAATAATCGGGGATATCGGGCCAACAGGACCAGCATTTCCCCCATAATGAAGCTCAAATAACTATACCTCCAGAAGCAGACAGCACAAATGACAAAATGTCCAGTTCTAACAGGTCTCAACATAACACACAGACAATCATACAACAGATAACTACATTCTCCCGCCTAATCATCTAAGCATGCAATTCAGGTTCTCATTTCCCTAGATTCTACAATCTGATTCTCCAGAACTATAGGTAAAGGCAAAAAGACCAATCTGGAGACGCAAGGAGGAAAGTAGAGCGAGGGGAAAAAGGCGGGAGAATGTCAGGTAGACTTGAACGTGGAAAAGACTCACCAGAGCATCGCCAAAGGCAGAACGTTGGTGCGGGGGAGAGGAGGGAGCCAGTCGGTGTGCCTCGACGAGAGCAATCCAACGTCGTAAACGGATCCTCGATCAGAGGTCGGGAGCGGCCGGAAAATGCAAATGAAGCCTCGCTGCCACGGAGCTCTCCGACGAAGGGAGGTGGTATCTTTAGGTGCGGAGTGACGGGCGTAAGTCGCCCTTTTATAGACAAAGCCTGAGTTACGGCTTCATCGGGCGAGTTACGGTCGTAACTCGGAGCGAGTCGGCGAGTTACGATCGTAACTCAGGCCATAACTCCCTAACCATCCTGATATGGGAGAGAAACGGGCTGGGGAGGTCGTAACTCATCCCTTTTTGCCCGTAACTTGGGAGAAGACCACCCCCATTGTCTCCAGACAGTCTCTAGAAGTTACGGTCTAGCCTTCCAAGTTATGGCCATGACCGTAACTTGGGGCTTCAGATCGTAACTTCTGAGAGGCTTCTACCCGTCTCCGCCCAAACGCGTCAAAAACGTCCCAAAGCACCTAAAAACACCCCACTGCTCCCCCCCCCCCCCCCCCCCCCGCCCGAGACCAAAATTCACTAGAACGACACCACATGGCATGATAAGTGACCACAAAACTCCATGTTCGAC